ATAAGAAAAAAAAAGCACTATAATGAATCTGCAGGTGCCCATCACTCGGCTGAGTACTAAGTAACAATCTGGCCATCCTGGTTCATCTACCACTGTCCTCTGGGAGGAGGGATGGAGTATTCTAAAGTAATCCAAGATATTCATACAAACTAATGTTTCAAATATAGCCATGATATCACTGTAAAAATAAGAAACTTTTTACTATTATCTAGTATCTACTCACTTTTAATTTCCCTTCTTCCGTAAAAAGAAAACCATCCCAAGTTGTTTCCAATTGGTGTGCACTAATCAGAAGCCAAATGAAGTGTGGGGTTAGGACACACGCATATGCCTCTGAGCTCTGGAGCTTTTTACAGCAGCTCCTCCTCCCGCCACCCTGGACTCTCCCTTATCCCAGATTCGGCTACCTGGGTCCTCCTGGTCTCACGCGTCCTGTCCACCAATCAGTCCTAGCTGGAGGCACCCAGAACCAGAGGTCCCATTCTGGAGCAGCAGGAGCCTTTCTGGTGGCTGCCTGTCCTTTATACCAAATGGGAGTGGCTGTCAGGCTGCTGCGCTCTGGTCACCGAGGGCCAGGCTGAACATCCTCCACAGAAACGCTGCCAGGGAGTCCCGTCCCCTGTCCCCACAGCGGTCACCACCCACACACTCACTCAAGGTGCCAGGGTCCCGAAATGGGCTGCCCTGAGGCCGGATCAGAACTCAGCCTCCCTCCCACTGTCCAATTCCTGAGCCACCTGCGCAGCGCGCTTGGGTCCTCAGCTGATGCTGCCCGAAGCCCTTGGCCCTCACTCGCTCTGACCCCTCCAGCTCTGGGGGTCCCCTCTGTGACTCTCCCTTGCCCAGAGCCAGACACACACAGGGAGGACCACACCGCCCAGCCCGGCCCTGCCCTGCCCTCCATCCACTCCTCTACCAGCCACCCTCCCTGACCCTGCGCTCTGTGCTTTGTGCTCCTACAGCCGGGTGCCTATGATGGACCTCACTGCCCAACTGTGTGCCCAGGCCCTCCACACAGATGTGTGAGGGCTTGCCCCTTAACAGGGCTCTGAGGAGCACGGGATAAGACAGAAACTCTGAGGCCCGGAGACCACAGCTCCAGGGCAGTCGCCTTTCCCACTCTCAAGGATGCTGCGCGGGGCAGCTGGCCTCGCTGTATCGAGCCATCTGGAGGAGAGAGAAAGCAAAAGAAAGCGGGAAATCCAAGCAGGTGGAACCCTCCCACAGTGGAGGCATCCAGACCCCGCACCTGCAGTCCAGGCTGCCGGGTTGGACACTTGCCACCTGGGGACCCGGGCTAGAGGCTGAGATACCCACCCCGCAGCTTCCCCGCCATCCGGAGCTTTGGTCCACAGTAACACACACTGAGAGGACTTGGGAGCCAACGCCCAAGCCAGTCCGATTCACAGGACAGAAACTCCTCACTGCCACTGGCCCGGACAGCAGGACCAGAACTGTCCAGGCCACTCAGAAAGCAGGCAAAGCCAGCCCTGTGTATGAACAGCCACAAGCGAGACCACCTCCCAGGCTCTCGAACAGGAAAAAAACTTTAAAAAAAAAAAAAAAGACATCGTTCGGGATTTGACACTTGAAATGTCTTTAGATTTAACTTTTACCAGCAGCCAGAAGAACCTTTCATTTTATCTCTTTGTTTTCTGGCCAAAGACCATGAAGGCACCACCACAAAATAGGACAGGTCCTAAGCAGAAACCCGACAACCTCCTGCTAAAGAATGAGCTGACGTACTCATGGGGATCAGGTGCTTCTGAAACAATTCCTGCTGCTGAACCCCAAGGCTGGTGTTTCTGTTTTTTAACACCTTGAGTCCATTTCCATTAGCTTAGAGACAAAGCTGAAGAAAACCAGCTGTGAGCCGCGGACCAGGGACTCCGCTGGACTGGACATTGGTGAAAAGCTGCCACGGTTCCAGCCTCTTCCTTGAGGGACAAGACACATGTGTCCCTGACCGCTTTACCCACAATGAGAATGGCAGCAGCAGAGAGAGGAGCCGGGATCGTGGGCGTGGAAGAACTGATGGGATTTCTCACAGGAAACTCTCAGAAACATCTACCTTCTTTAGAGCATGAGAAAATTAATACAATAGAAAAATCAGACACAGGAAACCACCGGCAAGATTGACTTGGCCTTAGGCCCAAATGGAAAGTTATTGTACAACCAAGAAACCACTAACACTAAAACGCAACTACCAAGCAATCCCAGCTCCGTGGGCAGAGTCAGCCTCAGCCCTGCACAGGGTTAGTCTGCAATCAGGCTCCTCCCGGGCCTCTGATGACACAAACAAGGGAAGTGGTTTCAGACAAGAGGGGTGAGAACTCTTATGGCCTCCTGTACAGAATAGAACTGGAAACAGCCACTTTTTTTTTTTTTTTTTTTTGGTACTAGGATTGAACTCAGGACCTTGCACTTGCAAGGGAAGCGGCAGCACCACTGAGCTAAATCCCTGACCAGAGAGGGCTCTGGGCGCACATCTGTAATCCCAGCACTGAGGAGGCTGAGACAGGAGGGTAACCCCAAGTTCAAGGCCAGCCTGAGATACATAGCAAGACCCTGTTTTAAGAAAACAAGAAGAGAGGGACCAGAAGGTTTCCAGTTTTCAAATCTTGACCCTTTACAGGCAAGGAAACATCAGCAACCCTTCCTCCCAGGAGCAATGTCAGAGAATGGACTGCCCCCATCCTACCAATCTTCTTAGCCAAATGAAATTGATTCCAAAGTGAGAAAATGTATTTGATTCAGCAAAACGTAGCTCCAGCGAGCTGACCTCCTGCTGCAAACACACCTCGCCACAGAGCTAGGCCAGCACAGACGCGAGAGTTACAGCATCCTGGAGCTTGAACACCTGCATGTCCACAGACTGCTGGCTTTCCTTTTGCTGTGCTTGTTAGACCACTGCTGCGCCTCACCAAAACTACATTTCATAGTTTGGACTGTAAGCTTGGGAAGATTAGAAACACAATACAACTGGACTTGCGTTTTCCAAACCCAGCTGACTTTCCTAATAACCATCAAATAAGCAGATGCAAGAATGTTTCCATGGAAACTAAGGGTTTTTATATAGAAAGTTTCTGAATACAGTGGTTAAACTAGCCATTTCTAATAGATACAGTAAGAAATGAAAATTGTAAAAGCTAAGTTTCTCTCAGCATGTGGTTCACAGCCCCAGGACTCTTCTCCCAGCCCAAGCCCGACCCACACACCTGCTCCCATTACCTGGGGCTCCCCAGGTCAGAAGCCCCAGTGGCCCCCACGCTCACCTCTTCCCCAGTGCCTCCAGCTACCCACACTACCATCCCGGCAGCACTCACATGGGTTACAGCAGAAGACACCGGTTCCTCCCAGCCTTGCTTCCTGTTCAGTTTTCCACCGAGGCCGCCAGACAGATCCTCAGAAAACAGGAGCCATAGGGACACTTCCTGGGTTCAGGACTCTGCAGTGTCCCTGCCACACTGGATCGCATCTCTTGCTTGCTCTCCTGGACACTGCAGCTGGCCCTGGAGCCCCTGGGCACACTTCCGCCCGGCCCTGCACCACTCCGCACAGTGCCTGCCTCTCTTCCTTCTGATGAGCACAGGCTCAGCTGCCCCAGTATTTGATCACATGCTACCCCTTGTGCGGTCCCAAGAAGCCTAGGTAATTAATGGGTGGAACTGGAGATCATGCAGAGTGAAATGAGCCAGACTCAAATATCCACGTTTTCTCTGGTAAATGAAATCTTACTTTTTAAATGTGAAAGTATCTTTATTTACAGCTTTCAGGGCATAAAATTTCAAATAAAATCTATCCAGGTGCTAGTTTTAAAAAATTAAATCATTTCCTCTATTCTGTTTTAGGAAAAAGTCCAATACATACTAACATAGTAGAGGGTAATAAAAACAGAATTTGATGTAAAACATAATTTAGAAAACATATGCACCTATTTTAGATTAGTATATGTTGATAACAAAAGCCACCAAGAATGAAAGACAAACACGTTTGCATGCAGCATAAAGACAAAAAAACCCTAAACTTTTACTTGCCACAAGTATAATAAACATCTAAGTGGAAGAACCTTCCTTATTTTTACTCCCAAATCTGCCCCTATATTCAGCAATAAACCTTGCACTTTTCAGAAGTGCATCACAGCTGTCAGTTCGACTCTCTCATTGCTTCCCACTCCACACCACACAGTGCAGGCAGCAAGGGCGCCGGCTTCAGCGTTGCCGCAGACGTAAGGTGATGCTGGGTCAGGGACCTGCCTTGTACGCACACACTGTGCCATGCGAGTCTGCTGGGTGCGGCTGGCTCTGCCCCATGATAGGGCCTTCCTCCCACTTCCCTTCAACCTTGGGAACACCAGGCAGAGCAGAGGGAAGTTAATTTAGTACCCTTCTGTAAGAGGGTCTTGCTGAAAGGATTTCTTTATGCTTCTGAGAATCGATTACACCTTCTGAACCTGCAGGCCCAGCTGTCTCCATAACTGTTGCTATCAGAGGTAAATCAGGGACTGCAGTTTACCTTGCCCGAGTCCAAGATGAGTACGGTTTGCTCTCTACCACAGCATCCGCTACACGTCCATCCTGCCGGGAATCAACTGTCTCCATAGTCCTTTGTCTTGTATTTGTCTTAATGTATTTTTCCCAACACATTTGCTCATTATTACATTTGCAATCAACAGTTTGCTCCTCCACTTCTTTATCCGCAGTGAGGGGCCTGACACAGCCGCTGGTATGGACGCAGGCATGGGGGACGCCACCACACAACAGCTGCGGCTGGGGCCTCCCACGGAGCCTGGAGCCCCAGGAAGGGCAGCGGAGGCGGACAGGACCAAGGCCTCGCACCTGCCCTACCTGCACTAGATGCCTGATACATGAAATCTTTTTTTTGTTTGTTTTTCTTTTTGAGACAGGGTCTCACTATGTAGTTGAAACTGACCTGGAACTCACTATGTAGCCCAGGCTGGTCTCGAACTCACAGAGATCCTTCTGCCTCAACCCCCCGAGTGCTGGGATTACAGGCATGCACCACCATGCAGCTGGTACATGAAATCTTGAAGGAAAAAAGAGACAACACAAAAGCATAAGAGAAACTTGGAGAACAGAAGAGGAATGGGGGTAGGCAAAGCGGGTTGAGGAGTAGAAATTACCCCATATTTCATATGCACATAGGAGCAGACCACACAAACCCAGTGTTCTGTGCAGCCAACACACTGCCAGAAAAAGCAAAGGAAACAGGCTGCAGACCGAGCCAATAGCCTCCTGACAGGGTCTCACAGGTGTCTGTTTCATTCACAGCCCTACCTAGCACGTCAGGTACTCAATTTATCTGTTTAAGGAATGCGCTGACTGTAAGGGAAACAGCTGAGGAACGCAAAGAACTAGAAAGATTCCGCATGGGAGTCACGTGGATCAAGGCTGAGGACATAGCTGTGGCTGGCAGGCGGGCGAGCTTGGGGCTGCGGGAGCAAAGCTCCCTCTTACAGGAACCACACCGTGTAATCAGTGACTCAGACGTGTGTGGCTGAAAACCCCCCTTCCTGTTTGCCCTCACCTCACGTGAAGGTCCCGGATGTGCATCACAGTTACACATCTAGAATCTCTCCAAAACATTTGGCAGCAGAAAAAAAAAAACAAAAAACAAAATCCTATATAAAGTTCTTCATCGCAGCAATTCTCTGTCCACACCAGGTCGGTGACAGAAGCTGACGCCCCAGCTGGGGGCTCACGTGGCTGCCCCGACACATGGCTCGAGCTCAGCAGGCCTGGCCCCATCTGGACGGGGCTCCCAGCAGCAGCTCGGCAGGGAAGAGGATGCCGGAGGATACGGCAAGCAGAGGTGGCTTTACCCTATTTGCCCTTTTTGGTCTTGGCTGTTTTCTCCTTTCTTTTTTTCACATGTTTAGGAATTTTGTTTTTTCTTTTCTCTCTCTGAGCTTCCTTGACCATCTTTTTTCTTTCCTGTGAAAACACAAGCAAAAAACATCCCCCCAGTTCATTCATCTGGAGTGTTCCTGTTAAGAAGTAAGCATCCAAAAGCAGGAGATAAATGAGGGTAATATAAAAAATGAACTGCTGGGAATTTAGCTCAGTGGTTCTGGCGCCTACCTCGAAAGCGCAAGGACCCCAGTTTGATCCCTGGTACTAAAAAAAAAAAAAAAAAAAAAAAAAACAGAACTGAGTGTGGGCTGGTGGTGGAAAGATGATAAACTCTTTCAGCTTTTTCTTTGGGTGGTACTGAGGACTGAACCCAGGGCCTTCACACTAAGCTGCCCCAGCCCTTTTCTATTTCGAGACAGGGTCTCATTAAATTGCTAAGTTGTCCAGGCTGGGCTCAAATTTGTGATCCTCCTGCCTCAGCCTCCCAGAGTGCCAGGATTACAGGTATACATACCCAGCTTTGAGCTCTTATAGAAATCTACAGACAGCTAGCTCATCAGTAATATCTCTGTGGGTGTTACTGTTTACAACTACTTTTCTTGACAAGTTTCAAGTTCTCATGAAATAAAAATCGGAAATAGAGAAATGTCTAGCAGATGAGTATGTCTCTAGCTAGACATAGAGCACAAGTTTTATAAGGCTGAAAGGATTAAACTAAGACTGAAAAGAATGGTTCAGCCATGCAAGGACCATCACCAGCAGCCTCTGCACCACGGGGAGGTGAGGGTAGGTGCTGGGCCCATGTTGGCTCAGCCCCTGGAAGGTGCCCCCCCACTTAGACAAGGTCACATTTAGGGACTGAAGCTGTAGTCAGAGGCTCTGCAGGGTTCTCAGCCTGATTCTGAGCCCACAAATGAGCCAGGTCTGCTGTGCCTGCCCTGCCCGAAGGCAGGGCCTGGCTTCTCCCACCTTCCTGTCCACGTCAGGCTCTGTGGTGTGCTTCTGGCCCCGCGCCTGAGCCCCCTGCTCCTCAGGGTCAGTGTCGGAGTGCGCAGAGCTCCCGGCATCTTCTGAATCAGAACAGGTCTTTTCCTGATCCTCATTTTCTAAGAGCGCAGGCACCTTGAAATTATTATGGAACCAAGTTATTTCTGTCTAGTGTTATAATACAGGTTTCAACTTTGCCAATGTACTCTGAAAAATAACATCTTGAACTGAAACATCAAGACAGCAGGAAAATCACCTGGAGCCCTTCCAACGGGGCCCCAGCAGAGACCCTAGTGAGGGTCAGGGCTTCCCGGGGGACAAGGTCAGCTGCATCAGGGGGGACTGGAACTGCGCCTACACATTGAAGCTGAGGACTTATCTGGGTGCCTTCACAGCTGCTTCCCTATGAACCACACTTCCAGAAACAAACTAATGCAATCAAGCAGAGAGACAATTTTCAGCCAAGAGAATCTTTCTTGTCTGGAAAATGAGCAGTTTTGTGTTTTTTTAAAGCAGTTTTTAAGAAAGTGGTTTCCTTTTATAAAATAAGATTTTTAAAAGCAACTGCAAGACGGTCTCCTGGCTGGTCGTAAGAAAAATCTTCATGTCCTGAAACTCTACACACTGATTCCCTATCACTTCCTGCTATAAACTGAATGTGGAGATGCAGGCCTCCACATCCCAGCACTCTGGGAGGCGAGGCACTTCCCACAATCCAGAGGAAAGATAGACAGTTGTCAAAAAGCAAAATGCACTTCTGCATGTAAGCAGTAAAAGAGAAGAGTCTTTATTACTAAGTTAAAATGATGTAATCCCTCCTGCCCTTCTAAAATGTAAAACAAAGCAAGACTGTTTTCAGTTTTAGGTCCATTAGGAGTTTTCACAGAATCATTAATACATGTTCTTACCTTCTGAACTCCTGACAAATCTTTCTTTAATCCTGTGACAGTCTGGTATAGAATCTTGTAAACAAAAGGAACAAAATAGCCAACATCAGCATAAGATCAGACAGTAAAATGCACACACGGAACTATCAAAAACACTGGCTGAATGGTGGGAGCACATACAGACTCTGTAACGGGTGTTTCTGTGTCCAGACCTGCAGGCCAGATCCAGCCAGGCACCGGGTGATTCTTACAGATGGACATTCAGGATCAATCTGATGACTGCACAGTCCGAACCCAGTGAGTGAACCGCAATCTCTTTCCTTGAATAACCTCACCCTTTCCGTATGCGCAGAGGCATATTACCAAAGGCTACCTTCAGCTATTACCAAAAGCATTTTCAATTCATCAACAAAAGTTCTGGGGAAAAATTCTTTTTCTTGACCCCTATGGACCAACATAACAGCCTGTTTTGTTTCTTGGCTTCCAAAGCCCAGACTATTTCCTATTGGCCCTTTAACAGACATTTTTTCCTGAAATACACGGTGTGTTGAAGGATCCAGTGTGACCACTCACAGCGGGGCTCCTGGATAAACCTTGCTCTCACTGTGATCAGTCTGCTGGGCTTGTTACACGCATCTCACCCTCTCGTACACGCCCTGCCTCCCTTGTACACCCAGGGAAGAGGATGTGAGCACACAGGGACGTGTGCACCCTGCTAGCTCTGAGGTAGCACGCAGGACCCAGGAGCGCGACACAGGCAGGGACAGGAGCCACGCTACGCACATCGTCCCGCTGTGCATTCATGGCCATGTCCTCCTCCTTCAGCTTCATCATCACAGCCATATCTCTTTCGTAATTCTTCACTTCATTCAAGGTCCTGGGAATATATGCTCGCTTGAACACCTGTGTGAGGAAGGGTGAAGCCAATGCCACTGTCACTCATGCGCTTCCCATGGTGCCTCAGCAGCCGGCACCCACGGAGGTCTGAATGTGTCACCACCCGCACACACCACCACCAAAGGCAATCCGTTACTAATCGTAGAGCACTACATCTTCATATGATTTTAAGGGGAAAAAATTCCCATGGGAACAGATCTGGGGTTATCCTTAGAACGATGCTCCTCCCATTCATCTGTGTTCCCAAAGCTCTTCTGAGGAGGCACAACCTGTTTCCATGGGGATCGCCCAGCCAGCTGCTGCCTGCCTGGCAGAGGCAACTACCAGTGGTGCACGCCTGTAACCACAGCCTTCTGAAGGCCGAGGCAGGAAGATCCCTGCAATTTCCCAGCCAGCCTGGGGTACATACTGATTTCAAGGACAGCCTGTACCACAAAACAAGACCCTGTCTCAAAAACAAAAAACAACCCCCCCCCAAAAAAAACCAATAACAAAGCCAGAAACAAAAACAAAACAAATAAACAAAAAAACCCCAGAAGTACTTCTTTATCAGCCATCACGCTAAGAGCTGCCAGAATTTTAAAAAGCAAAAAGCCTAGTGTGGATCCTTTTTAAAAAATACCCTGCCATGGAGAATGGGGAAAAAATAAGAACCAAGATACCTCATGTAAAGGTACAAGTTGTCAATGATGAATGTTAACTGTACTGTATACCTAAAATGTACCAAAAGAAGAATTTAAGAGGGGAAAAAAAAGCCAGGAATGGTGGCACACGCCTGTGATCCCAGCACTCGGGAGGCTGAGGCAGGGGGATCACTGTGAGTTCGACACCAGCATGGGCTACACAGTGAGTTCCAGGTCAGTCTCGAATACATAGTGAGACCCTGTCTCAAAAAAACAAAACAACAACAAAAACAAACAAACAAAAACCTTGTCTGGCAAGCACAAGGTTCTAAGTTCGATCTCCAGTACCAAAAAATACCCTGACTTCATCCTAAACTAAAATAAAGTTTGTTTTCACCAAAGGATCAGTATTTAAAATCTACAATGTATACAGAATCAACTTTAAGTAATTTAAAAATTCACCCCCCCACACACACCTCAGAATGAACTTGGGTTCTTTGCACTGAGCCACATCCCAATCCTTTCTAAACTTTGTAACTTTGTTATTGTGAGACAGGGTCTCTCTAAGTCACTAAGTTGCCTGAGCTGGGCTCAAACTTGAAATCCTCCTGCCTCAGACTGGGATTACAGATGTGCACCACCACAGCCCGCTCAGGCTTTTCCTTTCTGACTCACACACCCTACAGATCTTTAAAGTTTTTTTCCACGAGGACAATGGGCTAACAGGCTGCTGAATGGAACAACAGAACGAAATGTAAATTATCCCACTTAGCTCAGCTGAATTATGTACCATCTGTTAAAGTCAAGTTCACGCTCTTATCAGTACATACATGTACTCTGTGTACAAATAAACCTCAAAACGTAAGCATTTCTTAAGCCATGAAGATAGAACAAATCCTACCTCCTCATCCACATGATCTTGGCTGGACCTTTCTTCCTTAGTCCTCTGAGAGGCTATTTCCATGGCCTTCAAGAGAAAAGAAGAGGTCATTTTCCTCTACTTCGACCTTGGCGTGAATGGTGCAGGTTTGTTCCCTACAGATATCACCAAAAAGGCTGCCATGGACAGATGACCAAACGTGGCATGCACATGACAGGGTGCTGTTAGAAATCCTGCCACCCGCTACAACACGGATGAACCCTGAAGATGTTATTCTCAGTGAAATTAGCCAGCTCCATGAAAGGTGGGCATTGTGATTCTGACAAGCAGTACTGAGAGTGGTCAAATTCGTCAGGACAGAGCACAGCAGCAGCAGCTTGGGCTGGGCACCAGTTCAGTCGGCACAGCCTCAGTCTGGGATGACGACAGAGTCCTGAAGACACACAGCAGTGATGTACGCACAGCAAACTTGATGTCCCTGATGGCACTGAACTGCTCATTCAAAAATGGCTACAATTGGGCTGGGGGTTAGCTCAGTGGCAGAGTGCTGGCCTCGCATGGGCAAGGCACTGTGTTCAAATCCCAGGACCACAAAAACAAAGAAAATTGCTAAAATAGTAAATATTACATTACATGGATTTTACTATAACTTTTTAAAAAATTCTTTACTCAGAAAGCTTCTGAGCTAGGCAAGGTGGCACACACCTGGAGTCCCAGCACTTGGGAGGCTGAAGCAGGAGGATCACCTTGAGTTGGAGGCCAGCCTGGGCTACAGAGTGAGACCCTGTCTCAAAAAAAAAAAGGCTTTTGAGAAACATGAGAGACTTAATAATCAAAAACTAATGGGTTTTGGGCTGGGGATTTAGTTCAGTGGTTCTAACGCCTGCCTTGCAAGTGCAAGGCCCTGAGTTCGATCCCTGGTACCAAAAAAAAAAAAAAAGAATGGTTTCTTACTAAACTTTCATAAAGGCTAACAGCCTATGTAATCTTGCCAAATGACTGAAGTCAAGGAATCTGGGTTTTCCAGGCTGTTCCTTCTTTTTTTTTTTGGAGATGAGGCATCTCCCTATGTTGCCCTGGCTGCTTTTGAATTTGTGGGCTCAAGCAATCCTCCTGCCTCAACCTCACAAATGGCTGGCACCAGGGCATCCAGCGTGTGCTGTACTTTTAATTCCCATCTGTGAAATCAGAAGGCTGAAGATGCCGTCAAAATAAGTGAGTTACACTAAGCAACTGGAGTTTCTCAAAAGCGTCACACAAATGCAGTTCTGCTGTGTTCAGGTCTCCCCTTCCTCACTGTCTCACCTTTGAGAGGTAAGCATCCACGTTCTCAGGCGTGATGGACGGATCCGTGACAAATTCAAAGAGCTCCCGCACGGTCATCACGGCAACAGCGTGCTTCATAAAGAAATCTGCCGGAAGGAAAACGCTGGTGATAGTTTCGTAAGGGAGAAAGTAATTCCAGCTACTGTACAGAGAAACAAATGCTCAACACCTCCCGGCACATGGTCTAAGTGCCACCAGAAGGGACAAGTTGGTAACGAGATTTTTGAATTCAGGGTTGGGGGTAGAACTCAGCACCTCAAGCATGACAGGCAACAAGCACTTCACCACTGAGCTACTCCGGCCATGAGTGAGATTTTACACTGCAGGTTTGACTTGAGCCCAGAACACAGATGCAGAAAGCTCTTCCGCCTCACCGTTGACATTGGCACAGTCCTTCCGCAGGAACTCCAGGGCATGGGGGTGGTCATGCTCCACAGACTGGGAGACGTCAATGATGTGCACGCCGCCACCGTGGTACCTGTGGGACTCATAAAATGACATGGTGGGTAAGGAGGAGTCACCCTGACTAACAAGAGAAGAAAGCCGAGACAACTTCCCAAACCCAATGACTCAGTCCATTCCGGGACCCAGATCATTGAGGGCAGGGACCACATCTTCAGTTACCACGTGGAAGTCAATGTTTCAACTTTAGAATTTAGTATGACTTCACAGGCTGGGAATTTGCTTATTGCTTTAAAAAGGATACACTAAGTGACTTGTGGGCGGCTCCCAAGGGACAAACCCCACTCACAGCATGTTAAATTCGCTGAGATCTGCGTGGACGAGTCGGGCATCCTGATACATTCTTCTCATGTACTGAATGACCTGCAGATACAACTCACGAGCCTTGGATTCTGATAACTGGACATTCTTCAAGAGTGGTGCGGGCCTTGAATAAAAACGAAACAAATCAATATAAAGTGGCCAAGAACACTGTTATGGTTTGGGTCTAGATGTCCCCCAAAGCCTCGTAGTCTTTCTTGGAGGTGGTTGAGTCTGGAATGCGTGAAGCTGGGACAAGGGTGCGTGATTACTAACTACACATGAGTGAATGGGTTGGCACCACCCTAATCCTGGTAGTCTAAGATAGAAGGGGCAGGAAGAAGCTCTTCAGCTCCCTTGTTGCCTGTGCTACGTTGCGTGTGCCATGTTGTTTCTCCTCTGTGATGCCATCCCTGCCTTGAAGCTGGCCGATTATGGACTGAAACCTCTATGAACTGTAAGCCAAACAAACTTTTCCCCTTTAAATTTGGGTGCTGAGTATTTTGTGTCAGCAACGAGAGAAAAATAACTAACATAAAAACACATTTTCCTGCTTCAAACTACATCACTGCTCCCACTTCTCTTCTGTGCTTCACCCTGGGAGCTGGGTGAAGGTCATCTCACTGCAACTATCCCCTCCCAAGAAGCTGCCAACAAACAGGTGCTTTTTCAGCACATTGAATGAAGTCTCTCTCAGAACAGGGTTAACTCTATTATTCTGAAGTACTTTCAAACTTCAAAAGCTAAAATGCTAACGTGCATGCATTAAGACAGTGGAAAAGATTATGCCAGGAATAATTAATGGGAAATTCATATGCTAGATCATTCAAAGCATTTAAACATACAGGTCTACGGCATGACGTTCTTAGGTCTTTCAGAGACTTACATGTCATCTTTACCAATGAAACCCATAACAAGAACGTGGCTTCTTAGCATTATCGGTTTGGGACATGGAATCTCTGCTGTGTTTAACCTGCGATAACACATAAAAGGACAATGAAATGTTAAAAAGGCATCTTAACAAACCAAGAGAGCAACAGTCCAGACTAATGCTGTTGTTAGCAAAGGACACCAGGGCCTCTCAATTGTAACAGCATATTCCATAAAGGCTGGCTAAGACACCCATGATTTAAAGTGGCACCAATACCTACTGCTAAGAATGACAAAATACTGGCTAGGAAACAATCACACCCTATACCCTCTAACAGCCATTCCAACTCCAGAGATGTTAAACTGTGAAAAATGTGCATCTTAGAATTGATGAAATATAGCAGATATGCTAACAGTTATGAATTAATAAACCTGAAAAATGCTTAATAAAAATCACTGGACTCATACCTACCTAATAGCTAGTGAATCACAAGAATTCAAAAGAACTTTTAAAACAAGAAATACCTGCTTAACAGTAATTATCTTAACAACAACCAACAGGCTAAAAGACACGGGAAAGGTGAGGGAAAAAAAATCAACAAATTTTAAGAAATCTTAACCTCAACAAGGTATGTGGCCTATCTTCCTTTATCTTTGTTGTATCCAATATCGGACTGAAATTAAAAAAGATGGAATAACGTGTTTAAAAAAAAATACCTTTTTGTTTTGTACTTTTTTGTTTGTTTAAAACAAGACCTGGTACTTGCGAGGCAGGCACAGTGCCACTGAGCTAAATCCCTGGCCCTAAAACAGTAACTACTAAGAACCAACACGTCATTATTATAACCAATTATAACCTCCCTGTAACAGCTCTTTATCTACCTCTGTACAAATTCTGAATGTTTTTGAGTAGCTTACAAAGCTACTGAAACGATTAGCTTGACTGGACACACAAATTCTGCACTGCTACCCTAGAGAGCGGGCAGATGGTATTGTCTATAACTGTGTTTCTGCTGCCTCACTCAGCAGCGCTATGTGGCCCCAGTGAGCCCTCTCAGTGCGCAGAACCATGCAGGGCCCCATCGGCCGGAAATGAGGACAGTGACAGAGACCCGCACACCCCGTCACCTGGTCAAGTTCCTCATTTCTTTTTCTGCCCAAGTTTTCACCATTTTTCTAGGGTTTCCTTTACAGTAGCCATGACGAAACCTTGAATAAGGAAAATACTTGTTATTCCAATCATTCATTATTCTCTTTTAATGTTTTAAGTAACGGAAGTTGAACTAGTAAAAAGAGAAATCTGAGCTCACCTGAACTCCCCGCTTACATACTTATCCCGATCTTTGAACACCAAAATCGAAGTTTTATAAATTTTGATTGCTCTGCTCTCTCCATTTGCCGTGCTGGCATGGTATACATTAGCCTATTTTAGGTAAAAAACAAAACAAAAAAAAAAGGTGCTAACTAGTGTTTACTTTTCCAGTGTACTGTATGTGATTCTAACCTCAAAAGTCAGGAGAAATAAAATCATATTCATGAAGAACACCGCTATCTCTGGAAGACGCATCAAAGTATGAAACAGCATGTCAGAGTACACAGGCGTGTGGTCACCTGCTGCACACAGATGCCTCATTTGACAGTGGCTGGCGCTGTCAGTGCATGCAAGTGTCTGTCCTGTCTGCACAACTTATCTTTGTCAAGTCATGGGGGACTGGACACACACAACGAACTTCATTTATATATTTATACGTAAGAATCGGTTTCAAACCATTGTATCACAAATACAGAAAATATTTTAAAATACTCTTATACCTAATAATTCTTATACAATGAGTTGTTAAACTGCTCTTTTTAGGTGAGGTACCGGTGACTGAACCCAGCGACACCATCACTAAGCTACATCGCCAGCTCTTTGCAGTTTTTAAATCTTTTGAGATAGGGCCTTGATGGATGCCCAGGCTGAGCTTGAACCTGCACTCATCCTAACTCAGCCCTCCAGAGTGCTGCCCTGCCACACCTGGCTCCTGGCTAGCAATATAATGTTTTGTTTTTCTTTCCCCTTCGGAACCAGGGACTGAATTCAGGACCCTGTTCTTGTGAGGCAGGTGTGGTACCACTGATCGACATCCCAGTCCCCCTGGCTAGCAATGTTTCAATGAGGACTCAAACCTGCAACAATCTGACCAATAGGCCTACTGCTGGGCACAACCAGACTTAGTGACAGACTGGTAGAAAGCAGCAACTGTAGGGAAAAAGGCCAGTTATATGTACAACTTCCCATCTAACAAAGCCCACCAGCTTCCGGACTTCCCTGGGCTGAACACGGCTCTCACAGTCTGACTCTCATTTGTCCCCAGAGCCTGGCACATGCCAGGCAAGTGCTGTATTACTGAGCTACACACCCAGGCCCTTCTTTTCTCTTTAAAGGCGCAAGTTATTTACTAAGCGCCAACAGCTCAGTTGTTATGTGAATATGAAAACTAACACAACAACATTCAGTCATCCAAAGAAAAGCTCACTTCTTTTCCTGTGCTGATGCAGCCATTTATCTCTGATATGATCCCTCTTGTCAACAACTTGAATAAAATCATTCTTGTCCTGGGATCCAAAACCTAAAAAAAGAAAAAAGAAAAAACTGAGAAGCCCAGAAGATGGTTCTGAATCCCATTAAAACCCAACACACAAAGGGCTTCCATGCCTATGCTGCTCTGGGTGATGACAGGAGTCAGTGTTTGAATTTGCTCGGATTTTTAGTAACTCACACAAATAAGCCGAGAGCCAAGGGAACCAGGGGCACAAACCAAAATGTTCAAGTCAAGGAAATGAAAGGCTCTCGGGTGGAAGGGAAACAGAAATGAACTTCAGACCAACGTTATCTAACAGAAATATAATGGCAACCACCAAGTTTTATATTCTCTAGTCACTAAGTTAAAAGAAAAACAGGTGTGGTGATTTTAATACATCTCATTTAACTCAATATATCTATACCTATCACTTAAGCAATTAATCACTATAAGAAGTCATTAACAAGATATTTAACTTTTTTTTATACTAAGTCTTCTGGATTCAGTGCGCACTGGCCCTGCAGCTTTAAACCAGGGCCCAGCACCCTACGGCCTATGGGCCAATTCTTGGCTGCAGCTTGTTTTTCTACAGCCTCCAAGCTAAAAATGGCTTTGACATTTGTTACTGAAAGAGATCATTCAACAGAAACTATATACAAGCGAGAGGCAAAGCCCAAGTATTTACTAGTTGGCTCTTTCATGACAGAGTCTGCAGACCCCTGCTATACTAGAAGGAACCAGGGAGGGTTCCTTCCAAATCAGACTGTCCAGTTTTTTTGTTTTTGAGTTGGGAGTCTCTGCATCACCCAGGATCATCTCAAACCTGTAGTCTCTAGTGATTCTACTTCAGCCTCCCAAGTAGCTGGGACCCTAAAAGCATTCAGTCTTGGTAAAAAAGATTTCAGTGACCTCTTAACAAAGACTTTTAAAGCCCGTTCTTTCTTGTCCATCTCTGAGACTGAATGAAGCAGCGTGTGTCTGTGTGCAGCAGAAGCAGCAGCCCCTCGTGGCTCAGGGGACCCCAGCATCATGGGGCAAGATAGGGTAAACAGGTCAAACCCTGCCACATCTTAGGGTCAGACAAGGTCACCCCACAACCTAAGGTTACTGTAAAGAAAACAACTGTGGCCGGCTGGAGGACTAAATGCCAAAGTACAACTGCTGCAACTCGAGAAGAAGGAAAACAAAGTGAGCACACAGGCAGCCAGGCCCACTCTGTCTACTGCAGGGGTTCATCAAGAGGGGAAGCAGGCTGGCGGGGTGCAGGGATCTAGGTAGGACCTGCACTTCTGCAGAAGTGGTAGAGAGCTATCTTGAGGGGCATACAAAAGAGCAATATAGTGACATCTCAGGAAAAAAAATGGGGAATGAAAAATGAGATTTATAGGCAAGTACTTTTTCAAAAAAAGTATAAGACTCAACCAATATACTCTACTACTCAAAATTAATTTTGAAATAGAGAAAGGATCTTCTCAGTGTAGAAGTTTGAAAATTCAGGCTGAACCTCCTCTCTCTGAGCTAAACCTCACACTGTTTTCAATCACACAAAATAAATTACAGGACGGCGAAGACACAGACTCATACCCTACTCCTGCCTAACAATGGAATTCTTCATATGCACAAAGGTTCTAGACCTCAGAACCACTGGAGAGGTGCTTGCTATTCATCTAGGGGTGAGGTGGATGACACAAGCAGTGTTAATGTATTAAACCAAGGGTCTGCAGGTAAAGAAGCTACTGTTCTGAAATGAGTCTGTGCATGTGTATGTGCGGGGGAGAGCGGTAGCAGGCAGCAAGAGCTCACTTTCTTCAAATTAAAAATCTGGACAACTGTCTTTGGTGCTGAGGGCCCAGCCCTGCCTAACTGCCATATAATATTTTCTAACTAGTTTAGCTATCTACAATAGAATAAAGAAAGTTAGTGTTGCTTTCGATATTGACACAGGAAACTAATAAGACTTTAAAGTGGGCTCAGTGAATGAAGAAGTGGCCAAAGAGCTGCTGAGAAAACTATGAAGAGGGATTTCAACCCAGACAGTCCCAACTCTGGAGGCCAGGAAGATAACTGAGGCAAAGAGCCAAAAGGACTTGAAGTAGCCTGACCCGGAAGAAGCAGGCAACTGATCGAGTGTTTCGGTGACCAGAGGAAAGAAGTCAAATGCTTAATCCAAGAGGCAACTGCTGCTCTACCTGAGCTCCCAGCATGATGACTGGCAATTGTACTTCAACTCTGTGAAATACAGTTTAAATTCCAGGATCTTAATTACCTAAATTTATAAGTGGCATTCATTTTTAGAAGAATTTAATCTGTTGGACTTATGAGTTAATTAAATATTACTCTAAGAATAGTGAAAGCAATTGTTATTTTTATTAAAAATTAGATTTATAAATAGAAAACTAAATTTGCAGGTGCTCTTGGATGTTTAAGAACTAGCTCTTTTTAAATTTATATGTTTAATAAATACAGCATTAATTTAAACACAGGCAGTAGTAGGTAGCTTTTTTCTGCATGAAAGCCCCTCTCCAGCATTAAAATTCCTCAGCTAGGGCTGGGGATGTGGCTCAGTCGTTCTACTGCCTGCCTGGCAAACACAAGGGCCTGAGTTCGATCCCCGGTACCAAAAAAAAAAAAAATCCTCAGCTGACAACATCCTGTGCAGTGGTCCTGCTGGTGGACTCCAAAGTCCAGAGACCCCTTCAGTATCCGGCCGATGTCAGGGTTCTATGAAGACATCCTCCCTATCCTGGGTCAGATTCTGCCCAGACTTGCCGTGCCCTTGGTCCAGGCCCTGCCACACCAGGTCATGACGACTGTGGGCTGAAGCTCTGTCTATCCAGGCCATGATGTGAGAACAGAGTTGAGTCCCAGCAGAAGGTAAGAGGAGGAGCTGGTACCAACTGGGCATTTTGGAAGGTGATGCCAGGGTATCGAGGGTACTTTGGAAAGCCACCTCCCGGGTTAGGCATCAAGACTTTTTTTGGCCTGGGACCCAGTGCTCTCTCTGTATCTTCCCCTCTGGACCCTGCCAGGAAAGGTGGAGGGCAGAATGAAGGCCTTCCAAATGTCCACATCCTAACCCTTGGATATGGTGGTGTGGTGGATTAACTGAAGATCAACTTGGACCAACCAGATGAACTGAGTCAGCATGGTTCTGGGAGTGGAAGACCCACTTCAGAATTGCTGCCAATGGCATAAATAGAGAACTGAGGGGGAAGACCACTGCTGTTGGTTTTCTTGGAGAAGCTAGCCATGGATGGTTTTCCTGATACAAACTTGGCTGTTCTCATCAGAGCTGGGGTCCTCGCTATCACTGAGGATGGCTGTTTTCATCAGGGGAACTCTGATCTTCACCTTGAGCATGGCTTCCTGACCACAGTGCAGATCCCTCAGTCTGGTAGCACAGATACTTCATCCCACTGGAGCAGGCTGTCTGGCTTCTACCACTGGCCCTCGGGCCTTCCTGGGTGCAGATCCTCAGCATGGACTCGCATAAGGCATTGCCTTGGGCTCTAGGCCTTCAGATGGACTTGTGTGGGACATTGCAGTGGGATCCAGCCCCTCAGCTAGATTCTCTGGGTCTCTAGTGTGTGGACAGATCTATTGCACTCCTTTGCATTTGACTCTTTGGGTGAATATTGTAAAACAATCCTATAAATTATGTTTTATTGTGTGTGTCCTGTATTAAATCTATTCCCTTTCAAAAAAAAAAAAATCTGGGCCAATGTAACATCCAATCACCTCCCTCCACATGTGGGAAAATTAGAGGCCAATTTTCCTTCCCTCTTAAACAGAAAGAATAAATGGCCGGGATGTAGCTCAGCGGAACAGTGCCTGCCTGACAAGCTCGAGGCCAGGTTGGATTCTGGGCACCACAAAAGAAAAATAAATAAAACATAATTTCAGAAAGAAAGGAATTTCAATGAGAAATCTGAAAGCATTGCCTCTCTCTTCCCCTCACACTCTGCTTCATGGCAGATAATCTATTTTCTAGGAAAGCTTACAGAATTCCTACTGACTCTGCTTAAGAAAGTTTCCTAGTCTGATAATCTCTGTGCTTCGGAGAAGAAGAAAAGACTGGATGGTGGTTTCACAGGACCACAGAAGAACCACGACTGTGATTTATCAACTAATGGTGCTACTCTAAGAAACTTTGATTTCTATGTTCAAAACTATAACAAGTAGTAATTTTATATAGGAGTAGTTTAAGTAACATTAGCATTAGGCAAGGATGAAAGCAAACTCTAAGTCAAAGAGGAAAGAAATGCTAATTTAAAATAAGAGCTTATGATACATTTAAATTGTACCTGTTCTACAGTTGCTCTGTCCGCCTTATCTTTGATGCGATACCTAACCAAAAACAGAAAGTAGAGTTGACACATTCAAACTGCAGTGAGAGAAGCCAAAATAAAGCTCCTAAATATGCATAATTTTGTGAAAGTGCCTCAGTAGTTTCCTTCACAAGACTGTGATTCCACCACCAGTTCTCCACCCCGAGATGCCCCCTGCATTTCCCTGAATGCACACTTCCATCCTCTACGGCGAAGGCGGTGAAGAGTGTGCAGTAAGGGACAGTGATTAAAAGGCAGCCCGGGAAAATGACCAAAAATAGCCAGTCTGTCTGCACCTGAAATCTTGAACGAGTCTACTGGCACAGAATCAGAGCCCTTTACTTATAAGGCTCTCTCTCCAGAGCCGTCAATGCAGACTGCTTTGCTTCAACTCCAACACCAGGTAACCCACTCTAGCACGTAACGCTAGTAACAGATCCAAGCACAAAGAAAGGACAGGCCAGCAGGTCACAACAAAGCAATAAAGCACAGAATGGTGTAAACAAGATCCAAATTGTAGAACTGGTAATGTGAAATAGGAAGAAAGGGGCTAAAAGTGTAGGGGAAGTGGGAAGGGACAAGAAAAAATATGAGAAAAGGAAAAAATGGAAACAAAGTCTTTGTAAATACTGGAGGGTGGAAAGGGTGAAGGGAGGGCTGGGAATGGGGAAAAAATGAGAAGCAAGACACATCATGTAAAGGTACAAGATCCCAGTGATGAATGTAACTGTACTGTATACTTAAATAAATAAAGCACAGAATGTCTGGCTTTTAAATTCAGCTCTAACACTTAGTTGTAGTGTTTTGGGTTTTTTTAGCACATAAGAGAAGTTAGCCAGATTTTAAAACAATTCTTTGAAAACAAAAGAACACAAAAACAGTTCTCAGATACATCTTTATTTAGTTTTAAAACTTTCCCTGGATTCTTATAAATACTTCATGGAAGGAAATAATTCTTAAAAAAATTCTAAAACAAGAATAGTTTTACACATTTAGCCTAAAATGAAATGTACAGTTACCCCCATGAAAGCAACCTGTGACTTCTGCAAATTATAGTTTTATCATATATTTCCTAAGACTCATTTAGTATTTTCAAATTACCTTTGTACAGGCTATCCTCATTTAAGCTAAAAAAGGACACGAATGAGCACCCTTTGTAAAACAATTTTGTTATTTACAGTTCATCCAGATCACCCATATTTTATTTTATTTTTTGGTACTGGTGATCGAACTCAGGACCTTGCATGCAGATGGCAGAACCACTGAGCTAAATCCCTGGCTCCATATTTTATGATTAAAATATTACTTACATGTCTGCTTCCTTTTGTCTAGACTTCTCGGTGACTTTATTCATGACAGAATCAGTAACATTTAGCTTATCTAAAAATTAAAAAATGCATTATGTAAATAATATATAAAATAAAGACATTAACAACCCTTCTGAATAAAATACTGTACCTTTCCCCACTTTTCCTCCCCCCTTCATTATCTCCCAAATATTATAGTTAAGATATAGTTTAGTTATGAAAAATATTTAATTTTTTAAGCACTAAATTCTGTTTCCTTCATAGCAAGCACTGTCACTTTCATCATGATAGCTTTCATTTTCAGCCAGAATTCTGTAGAACTCTAGGTAGAGAAATACCTCAAAAACACTGTGCCTGGGGCTGGGGATTTGGCTCAGCAGTATGGCCGCCTCGTAAACACAAGAATGCAAGTTCGATCCCCCGTACCCAAAAAAAAAAAAAAAATAATAATAATAATAATAACAATAACATAAAATACTGTGCCAAGTGGGGCCGACGATGTAGCTCAGTGGAACAGTGCCTGCCTGGCAAGCATGAGACCCTGAGTTTCATCCCCAGTACCAAAAAAACAAAACTGTGTCTGCATGTTCAATTCCAGCCATTTGTGAATGCTTTGTAGGTAATATAATGGCCTGAATACCAAGATTAACTCTGAAAAACTTTCAAGTTATAGGTCCATGATGACAATGAAGACCCTGAACCACTGATGCCAAACCTTTTAAGGACCAAATGCCAAAATGCAACCCGAAATCCACTCATTTATCTGCAAAGTACCAACACTGCAATTAAACCTGAATACTACAGTTTTAGTTTAGGAAAAAACAACATATAGATTAACATCTTTTGTCTTAAAAGAAAAACACAGTAACACGTGTGTCATAGGTTCACCAGTACTGCCCTAAATATCTCTATTCCTTAATGCAGCATTTGTAAACAATTTATATGATAGACACTGTGCTAGGTTTATAGTCAAAAGAAAGGTGGATTTTACATGTTTTAAGATGTGATGGCTAAAATCAGCATTCTAACTCGCTGTAGTCAACAGCTTGGTAAATGATTAACAACTACAAAAAAGTCTCTAGCAAAACAAATTAGTATTTTCAACAGGCTATTTGCTTTGAGAGGATCCTACTACAAAATCTAACACAGAACAGACAAGAACATGCATGGGTACTGACTTCATACTCCCACAACAGATGAGCAAACAATAACAAATGTGAAAGGCAGTCTCCCTGAAGCCATGTCTTTGAATCACTAAAGGTTTCAATTTTCTTTAAGTGGTAATACTGAATCAGTAACACCTGACTCATCACTTTCTGATCCAATAAAATTGTAAAATACTTCATGGTTTTTTAAGAATTTCCTCACAGCCCAGAGAGGTAATAAACTCACCTAGATTAATTTTATTCTCAAATTTCCGTAAAACCTTATCAGCTGGAGTAGACATTTTAGCCGCACTGCAGTTGGAAGTCTGTCGATTTGCCTACAAGAAATGAGTTTAGAGTCTGAGGCACTAGTTGTTAACACAAACCTAAGGTCCTTGTCACATGCTTTTCTCCTTCGCTCTATACTACCCATTAAACATTACAGCACCAATACTTACAGGCGTACACTAAGGAAAGGCAAGAGTCCATCCAATCTGCTCGATCCTTTTATTTTTTTTCCCATGGTCACTTACTTTTGATACAAATGTACATGACAATGTCTTGACAGTCCTCCCAGCACCACAGACAGGGCTTGCCCTTAGATGTGGGTTGGAAGAGGAGCTGGGGGTTCTGTGTGGGCCTCCCCAGTCTTCCCAGGCTGCATGCAGTCAGATCCCCTGGCTTCTAGAGGGTGGGGTCACCTTAGGTGCAGGTAGTGACAGCAGGTGCTGGCCTCATGGAGGTTATTGGGAGGAATTCTTAGGTCCACAGCCACCAGCTGAGTTGGAGACCATGGCGAGCCAGCCCCAGGTTCAAGTGCTCAGCCCTCTACCTGGCCAGCACTTTTCTCTCTACAAAGGAGGGAAGGAGAGATGGAGGAAGTTCATAGAATACAGGCAGGAGTTGGGGCTGTGATGAGAAGAGGCAGCGTCAGGATGACAGCTGGTGATGTTGTGGGGGAGAAGACACCCCCTCCCCAAATGCTGGTCCCCTCACTCCTCAAAGCTCCAGATAGGCCAGGCCTCCTAAAGAGCACTACTGCCCACACACTTACACAAAGGGACACTCAATTACCACCGAGTTAAAATTAAGGGGTTGGAAGAGGAGAAAAGAGATTTTCCAGTGTGTGCTGCTGGGGACCCCAACACATTGGTTGGGACCTGTGTCCTAGGCCTGGGTTGTTTGTAATCAGAGGGCAGTAAGAGGGCTGCTGGCTACAGGGCAGGGACATTCACTGAGATGTACCAAGGAGGGGGTGCCTCACTCAGCCCCCAATAGGGCTAAAGTGGCTCATACATGAAGGGGAGCAGAGCCCCCACCCAAGCCTTTGCTGAAGGGAAGGCAGTGGGAGTGATGCCTTGCAGGCCCTGTGTGCAGAAAGGGTAGTCAGGAGGGAGGTGCATGGAATGTGGGAGATGGAAGCTCATGCCACCCTACTCCCTGTCCTTGGGGCTCGAGGGGAGTGGGCACCAGGGGAGTGGCAGCGCTAAGGTCACTTGTGCCAGTGGCTCTGTTGGGGTGGGTTAGTGTCTGGAGTGGCCCAGCTCCCATGGCCAATGAGGACTTCAGCTGGGGGTTGGGAGGAATGATGACTAGCTGCCTGGTGGCCATGGCGATGTCACCTGCGGAGCCTGCAGCTGGAAGTGCACAGGGGCACCAGCCTCTGGGACACTGTCTTCCGATGCTCCCTCCGCAGCCAGAGGCCCTGGCACTGCGCAAGCTACGCATGGGCTCCAGGGCTGGGAGAGAGGCCAGCTCATCACGGCCAAATGCAGAGTCTCTCAGCAGGGCACGAAGCTGTCGTGGTTTAACTCCTGGGACAGCTCCTCAATGCTCTCGGTGACCTGCTCTGTCTTCAGGGTGACACCCGCAGTGCTGGGGAGCCCAGGATCTAGGGCCCATCCAGAGATGCTCCTCCTTGCTTTGCTCTAGGAACTGCTTCCCTTTCAGCCCAAGCTGCAGTTCCCACTGTGTTCTTGTTGTCACTGTTGCACTGCTGGCATGGTGGGAAAGCTTGCTCCCATGATGGCTTCCTTCCTGGAGGACAACAGCAGTGGGGAGGAGGGAGTGAAGGGCACAGTCAAGGCAGACACTGCCTTTCTTATCTGGTGAAGGCCAGCAGGGACATGCACCAGAGAGACAGCGTCATCCTCTGGCTCAGTGATGTGGCCGCGTGGTGAGCTCGTCCCCCAGGGCCTCCCCAAAGGGCTTCACAGTGGAGCCTGGCTCACACATGCACAGGGTCTAGCGGTCCAGGCAGTGGGTGCTCCCGGCAGGCTGCTCGGGTGTGTGTGTGTTTTCTGTCTGCTCTCTGGGGAGCAGGGCTGTAGGCACAGGTCCTGGTGGCTGCCGCAGCTGCATTTCTGTTTGCAGCTTGCTGATCTTCCTCTGCCACCTCCAAGGTGCATCACTCAAGTGGCTCTTGACCTTCACAGGCTGCTGCACTTTTGCCTCGAAGGTAGTCAGGGCCTTCTTCACCTGGGGACTTGCCCGAAGAGTTCATACTCCGGGCACAGCTGTTCTGAGTGGCACTAGCGCTGTGTAGTGGCTCTTGGTCCATGTATTCGTCAGAGTCTCGTCAGGCTCTTGCCCTGCTGTCTCCGCTTGGCCTGAGAATGTCAGTGATCAAGGTGGCAAACTCCCAGGCATTAAAGCAGGCCAACTTCTGTCAACCCAATTCTGTGTGGCTGAGTACACAGGGTTAACCAGGAAGGTCATGGCACCGCAATCCGTCACCGGGGTGCTGTGTCTGTATGCCAGCCACACAGCATCACATTCTCTTCTATTAGGGCCAGGGATTCAGCTCAGTGGTTCCACCACCTGTCTCACTTTCTCTTCTACCCACCTCATCATAGACATCCACAGCAAGTTCTTCAGAAAGGTGGTTGCTGAGCGTTCGCAGCTTCTTGGCAGCTTTGGCCAACAAGTCCATGCTGTCAGGCATCTGTGGGATGTTATACCGCCCACTCTTGTATTCCGGCTGGCATCCAGAGATAGCAGGCCCACTGGTCAGATCATCCTGGCCCAACTAGCCTTTCCACCAGTCCACGGTGGCCCACCTGCCTGGCATAGCCACTGGGTGTGCGGAGGAACTCAATCAGTCCTATGCACCACTAGTAGCATGGTCTGCAGTGTCTCACTGCCTTGGCAGCCATGTGCAGAGGTGTGGGCCCTTCTCCGGGTGGAGAGAGCTGACCTGGGCACCCAGTGACAGCAGGCACAGACATGTCTCCAAGGTGCCTGTCCAAACACTCGAGTGCAGCTGCTTACTGAGAGGTCTTTGGACATGATCCCATGGGGCCCTGGCAGGCAGTTTATGCACAGATGCCAGTGTCTGATACTTGGCCCCACTAACTATGAATCTGAGGGGGTAGACACTGTTTTGGAGGCTGGCTTTGTCCAGCCATACTGCACCCTCTGCAGCAGGATGCACCAGAGGCCGGGCACTGTGGCCTAGGGGCTGACAGTGGAGATGTGGCATTGCAGGTTCTGGTGCACACACAGCCCTCGTCACACCGAAGCACACCCTGCTGATGGATGCCCAGCCAGGGCCTGGGGCGCTGCAGACCGAGCACCTCCACCCTTGGCCTCTTCCAGGACATCCTCAGCAGCGACACAGCCATAGTCCTCTGGGCCAGCATGGGGGGCATTGGCAGCAGCCACCCTGCTCCCTGGCTCGGCTCCGGCAAGGGCCCGGCTAGGCTGTGTATCTGGTCAACCGTTCTCCCCCAGGGCTGGCATGGACACCATCATGCCCACCTGCCCTCGGGCACATGCCCGAGATGCCCCGCATAGCCTCTCAATCCTTTTTCTAAAAGGCCTTTGAAGCAGAAGGTTCAAGTTACTGACTAGAATAAAGCAGCCACAATGTTTACTTCTATTCAATATACTCTTCATTATGATAAATTTAAATTAAATGTATTTTTCTACTCTGATTTATAGATTTAACACTTAAGAATGTTCATCTTCCCCAAACTGTTTAATAAAGAGCTAAGGCCAACATTAAACTCATTCTAATAATTTCATTTTGCATCTAATGTCTCAAGAAAGGGAAAGATTAAGGATGTGGCTTAACACTTAAGATTGGCATTCCACAAGGTTTGAAGAATGGAAATCAGTAAAGACTGCGGCTACAGGACAATATCATCTGAAAACAATCCTTCAGTTACTCAGTTCCTAAACCACAGAAAGTCCCTTTAAAGAAGACACATCAGACACCACAGAGATGTACCTGTGGGCTACTCACTCCACTCCAGGCACAGCCCTTGGTGAGTTTTCCAACTCCGTCATCCCAGTCCCAGTCATCATCGTTGTCATAGTCCTCCTCTTCTTCCTCCTCTTCTATCTCACCTTCACCTTTCTTCTCAGTCACACTATTTTGTAAATCTTCAAATAGAATGTCATCTTCTGCTTTGACTGTCTTCAAATCTGTGTTTTCACTAGAAATAACAATATTTTGGCTTATTTACACACCCTCTAAGTACCTTCATATTTATATATATTTATGATAAATATATATATATGATTTAACAGACTAAATATATGCTGATAAACCTGTTTCCCTTACATGTCCACCTTTTTAATAACAATTCTCCTGTCTCTCAGTCATCTGCTTATTCTTTGTACCCAAGTCCTACTGGAAAAGTATATCACATGTTAAGTCTGCTTCTACCTTAGTAAAATAAGACAGTACATTATCTTCCTTAATGAATCAAATTTGATCAGTGGCCAGCTTTGGCAATACATCTAAAGCAGTCTTACTGCAACCTACCACTCTGCAACATAAAGAGCTCCCAATCCCCCTTGTTTACAAAGGGAAGGGATGGTCCAAACACTGCACATCAGAGGAGGCTAAGCATAAAACAAGAGAAGTGGCGACTATTAACAGAGAAGTCGTCCAGGATGAAGACAGCAGACCTATCAGGTTTTTTGCAACCTGTGAATTCAGGGCCTGTGCCACTAGATTTTCTTAGCTTTTCAAGAGAAGACAGAAATCTGGACATTTGCATAAAATTTCCCACTTCACTGGAATGTGGCATTTTCACAACAGTGTGCATCCCAAACAAAACGTCTACAGGCCAGATTCAACAGAAATATTGCTAGTTTGACTTTTCATGTAAATTAAGGGCAGAAATCCTATAACACAAGTACTAATATGTACCACTTAAAAACAGTCAGGTAGTTTAAGAAAAAGCAGATTTCAATCCCAATTTATTAATTAGTCAGGTTTCAGGGCTCCAAGTTCCTGTGGGAAAGGGTAGGAAGAGAAGAGAAAAGCACTGAATATTTACTACTTCACAAATTAACCCTTCAATTACCTATAACCTAGAGTGGTGTTTGCCTAAGGCTTTTCACCTAGGTCAGGCAATGATTTGCCAAAGAAGCAGGGTGCTTTGTAGCATCGCTGGCCTCTATCCACAGCCACCAGTGCACCCTCTCACACTGTCACAAACAAAAATGCCCCTCCAGACCGCCAAAAGCCCTTGGGTAGGGGGGCAAAAATCACCACAGTGGAGAACCAATGACTTAGCCTCATCCTGCCCTTTACCCTGGATGGTAAACTAGCGCACTCATTACCATTTTCTATTCACCAGCCATGCTGCTTCTTCCCACATAAATTCTTCCGTGAAGACTTCTGTATATTGACCTGTAATCTTAAGACTAGAAAGTCCTTCTCATTTCTCTGCTAAAGCCTACTCATTCCTCTATCAGCTTACTCTCACTTGCTCAGGGAAATTTTCTCTATTCTTCACCCATTTCTCCTCTGTGTTGCTTAGCAAATTACAGTACGAGTAATTTCTCTAATCATTTAATATCAGTTTCCCTTGTAAGAGTACAAGGTCTGCAATGATCAGAATGGTGTTTGCCAGTGTATCCCTACGAACACTAGATCTGACATGCAGAATGTGGTCAACATGTATCTATTAAAAACATATTCAACTATTAATCAAATCTATTATAACGGGGTAGAGCAAAGGGAAGAACATAAAAAAACGTGAGAAAAGGAAAAAATGGAAACAAAGTCTTTGTAAATAGGGAAGGGTGAAGGGGGTGAAGGGAGGGCAAGGCTATGGGGAAAAAGTAATAACCAAGATACATCATGTAAAGGCACAAGATCCCAATGATGAATGTAACTGTACTGTATACCTAAAAAGTACCAATGAACTAAATGAAAAAAAAGCTATTGTAATGAATCCTTATGGTAAATATAAAGTATGAGATATTCTTGAAACTTCAAAATAACTTTCATTTTCCTTATAAGAAGGGGTTATGTTTAATGCTGTGTTCACAGACTCTATATCTAATCTACCACTAAATTTTGCCACTTCTTCCTCCAAAGATTATGACCCTAGCTCTAACACCCATCATCTTTAGTCTACTGACTTCATTACTTCTGAGCTGCTCTCTCTGTTCCACTCTCGCTCTCCATAACCATTTTCTACATTGCAGAAAGATTCCTTTAAATCGTAAATCAAATGACGTCCTGGTAAAAATCCCTCCCTGGCTTTCTTTCTAAAACCTGGCCAATATCTAAGTCCCCACCATCACGTGTAAGGCTCTAGTGCCCGTCTTACTTCTCCATCTCCACCACCTCCACTGTGCTCTTCCCACAAGCCTCCAAGTCCTTCTCTCACAACCAGAAGGATCCCACTCTGGAGACTACAGTGTCCTCTTAGTTCCTTCTTGTCATTTAAATAAGGACTTTAACCCTTGCCTGACCACTACTTTTATATCTGTTTTAACTCTGTGCATATCATGTCACTATCTGCTATTTTTATTTTTTTATCTGACTTTTTAATGGTTTGGACGCCCCAAGCAGGTAAAGTTCAGTGACAACAGGGCCGTGGTTTGTCTTGTTCATCCCTATCTCCAGCAGAGGATAAAAACTGGCCTACGGTAAGAGGTCCGTAAGTACTGTAATTGTGGAACGAGGGCTGCAAATCAAATACAAAACTCTGGTTCTCCCTTGTTATCCCCAACTCTGCCTCTCGGCTTGGCTGACCGTCCCGGGAACCCACAGACTCCTTTGACAAGTGACTTTCTCGAGCTCGGCCCTGCAGCAGGAGGAAAAACCCAGCGGGGATGCAAATTCTGAGACATCCCCTAAGCCACAACAAGTACAAGGCAGGCTCTGAACAGAGTTGAGCTGCCCCACCGCCGTCTACCTGTCGGAGGACTCCGCGTCGTCAAACTGGCCGGGCACCACCCGGCTCATCAGGAGCCGCCGATAATCCATGACTGAGCCGTCCGCCCTTCCTGGGGCAGGAATAGCACCGAGGATGGTTTTACCTGTGGCGAACCTAAGCACCTCTCTGCGAACCGCCACCTCCCAGACCGCTCGGAAGTCCCCAAACCAACAGCGCAGGCCACGTGCTGAGGGACTCTCGGGACTCACAGGTCCAGCTCTTGAGAAAAGAAGACACTGACCGGAAGTCCCGCCTTTGCGGAAGTCGACCCGCCGGAAGTACCGCCCCACGCGGGGAGGCTGCGCTCTAGGACTCTCTGGACGGGGCTAAGGAAGTTCTAGCAGGGTGGCGCGGGTATGTGGAGTTGTCCGGTTTGTTCCGCCCATAATGCCTGGAGTCTTTCGTTTCTGTGCTCTGCTCTGGGTTCCTCATGCGGAAGAACGCGCCTGTTGGCCCGTGGCGGTCCGAGTCTGCCTAACTTCACCCGGAGCGGCGTGTCGCCCGCCGTGGACGTCACACAGGGCGCGGCGGCTGCCGAGATCCCAGCGGTTCACTCAGCTCGCAGCGGGAAGGGGAAGGCGAACGCGCCCCCCTCCCTCCACGCCTGTGCTGGACGACGAAGACGGTTCCTTAGTATGGGCCCGACAAACTATGGATCATGGAAGTGAGCACGCTTTTGTGTCTTAGAAAGTTTGGTGCGTTTCCAGGTGAAAATGAGATAAGTGCTTTTGAAAAGTTAAAGTTTGTTATGCGACTGCAAAAAATCAGTACAAAACTAAAGTGCTTACTAGGAACGCCCGTGACATCCCTGAACGCCTATATTTAACAGCTTGGAACGTCTCCGGGATGGCTAGCAGAACATTTGAGTACAAGTTTTAAAAATCCAACATGAATTCTGCGGACAAAAATGAAGGATGAGAAAAATAAGCCTGGCTAAAAAAATTAATTGGTGCAATTGGAGGAATGAACACCGTTGTAAAGAAGTGTAATTGTAAATTACGAGTTCACACTTTTTTTTTAAGTTTAGAAAACAGCAGAGACTATAGATCCCTTCACGTCAATCCAGAAATATTTATTTATTTATTTGGAAGATAAAGAATAAAGTTGAGCCTTTCACCAGTCCTGCATAGCCGCATGGCTTACATTTTTATACTTTACTAAGTGACTACATAGATTTGGAAACAACTAATCCTCAAAAAATTTGTTTATTCAGGGCCGGGGATTTAGCGCAGTGGTTCTCCCGCCTGCCTTACAAGTGTAAGGACCCGAGTTCTATCCCTTTGTTGATTCAATAATTCAGTAGTTTATTCAGACAAATAGCAACTGTAGTTTGAGAGAAAGTAAGTCTTCAGAATGCAAGATTTATTTAGTATTTACTATGTAGCCAACACAGGCAGGTGTGTATTAGGAGGTGTTGAAAAGCTGTAAGTAGATTCCTCTCAAGGGAATTATAATGTGTAAATGTAAATACTTAACACCCTTGCAACAGTGGTGAAGATTAAAACAGTAAACAAATAGGTACTGAGTTGTAGGTAGAGATTTAAAGACTTAAAAACACAGGAATTTAAAAATTGATAAATGAGCAGATGGGGAGGTTTTGAGAGAAAAGCACAAATTGGGACAGAAGGCATTTATTTGCAAGTAAACGAGCCATGTCTGAGTAGAGAAGGGGGCAGTTTTGGGTAGGTAAGGTGGGTGTAGGCTGTGGAAGGTCTCCAGGGTCCAGTAGAATTTGGTGTGATTGGGCATCAGTCCCATCTCTGAAAGATGAGTATGTCGTGTGGCTATGGGACAGTGATAGGGGGATGGAACAAAAGCATGAGTTACGGAAAGACATTTTTAAAGAAAAAATGGGCAGAACTTGGTAACTGAGTATCTGTGGGTGATGAGATTAGGGTGCAAAAATCCCCCAAATTTTCAATCTCTAGTGCCTGAGAGAAGAGGTATGGTAAAGGAAAAGCGTGGAGGAAGAAATACTGTGTTAGTGTTGGATTTGACTCAGTAATGAGTTTTTCAAATAGAAAATATCAAATAGAAATAGTGTTTGTGAAAACTAATCAGTCTGTAATATTTTGTGAATATCCCTTCATTAAGTGGCCAAGAAAGGCCTTCACTTTTAGAGAATTATTGGACAATGGCCACATACTGACATTTATCCAAATCAGTAGTTAATACCATATCAAGTCGTAGTATACTAAGACCAAATTTTTTAATTTTTGTAACAACTTAATAAATAGCATTTTAAATTTAAGGCAGTGAACTTTGTAGCTTTCTCAATGTGAAGTGTAGGGGGAATGGTGTATACTAATAAACGCTGAAATTTTGTATGTGTGTGTGTTTTTTTAAGAGACCTTCTATCATTCAGCTATTAAAATCGAGGACTCTCAAAAGTTTTGTTCATCATCCCTGGCAACGCAAAAGAAAAAATAAGTTGTGTTCATCACCTTCAGTTCCTGTACATTTGGAAGTGGATGTTTCTCATGAAAATTTAGAAAGCGTGTCTGAACTGGACGCCATACATGTCAGTGGTCTTTCTCAAGATTTAAGTCACTCAGATTTGCCCTCCTGCACGGAAAGCAGCCCTGCTTCATTTTTCCCTCAGGTGTGCATCGCTTGTGAGTCCTGGAAGGTTCAGACGCATTTAGTATTCACATTGTCTCCTGTGTGACCATTTCTTCAGATCTCTGAGGACAATAGAAGAATCTCCAGTGGGCATAGAAGGAGGGGAACAGCCTGGCTTTCCAGTCCCGTTGGTATAAAGAAAGAGTTCTACAGATAGAGTGTTAAGATGGATCCTTTTTACCCACTCGTATATCCCAACAGTGCAGCCAGGGGACATGGCCACAGTTCTGTCACTGAGGCAAGATAAGAGACTTGACTCCCAGTCTAGAGCACCTTCCACTGTGTCAGTGTGCAGATGGTTTGGTTATAACTGGTAATGACAATGACAGCAGCCTGCAGGGAAATGACTTCCATCCTTGCCTTCATGAAAATTCCTACTGTCCTTTCACACATGATAAAGGAGACTAATGTCCCAAAAGTCTTCATGAGTGTTCCAAATGTTTGATAGTTGCCAGCAAGAGTATAGGGGAAGCTGGGCATGGTGGCACACACCTGTAATCCCAGCACTCTGGGAGGCTGAGGCAAGAGGATCGCTGTGAGTTTGAGACCAGCCTGGGCTATAGTTGCAGGTCTTCATGAGTGTTCCAAATGTTTGATAGTTGCCAGCAAGAGTATAGGGGAAGCTGGGCATGGTGGCACACACCTGTAATCCCAGCACTCTGGGAGGCTGAGGCAAGAGGATCGCTGTGAGTTTGAGACCAGCCTGGGCTACATAGTTGCAGGTCAGTTTCAACTACACAGGGAGACCCTGTCTCAAAAAACAAGAGCAAAAAAAAAAGTGTAGGGGAATAAGAGAAATTAAGTTGTGCTATGTGCAATTGCCTTTTTGTACCTCAAAAATAGTCAAATACTGAAAATTTCATGTGGCTCAGTCTAAATTGGCGAAGCCTTTCTGCAGGTCTTTTTAGTGATAGGATGGGAAATTGAGTTAAACTGCATTTCACAATTCTACCTCTAGGAAATATTCAAATAAGATATTTAAAGGATTGTCCATAATTAAACATTGGAAACAACTTTTCATGAATAGGTGGCTAATAAAGTTACTTTGTAGGTATATAGCAAACATTTATATATTTTTTATGTATTATATTTATATATATATTTGTCGACAGAAATGGTCAATTGGTCTTACTGGGTAGTAGGCCTTTGAGTGCTTTCTATATTTGATGGTCAGGATTCTTTTTTTTAATGTTTAAACTTGTTAATTGGTATACTATGTACTACATTTGAAACACTGTGTCTTAAATTACATGAGATTCTCCTTGGATTTCACTGAGCATTTTATTTATAATAAATTTATGGACAAAAAAAATTACCTCAAATTCTATGACTAGTAGAATCCCAAGAAGAGTAGGTGAAGTATAGTATGAAGCCAAATGAATAGGGCTTTTTAAAATTCTTATTTATTCACTTTTGCAGTACTAAAAATTGAACCTAGAGGTACTGTGCGCTCTCAGCCCTGTTTATTTACTTATTGACAGATTGATTGGTTTTGTGAGACAAGATCTCACTTTGTAATTCTGATTTACCTTGAACTGACTTTGTAGCACATGCTCGCCTAACTCACAGCAGTCCTACCTCATCCTCGCAAGTGTTGTAATTATAGGTGTATTCCACTGTGCCCAGCAATGTTTTTGAGACGTGGTCTTGCTAAATTGCCCAGGCTGGTCTCAAACTTGAAATCCTCCTGCCTCTACCTCCCATGTAGCTAGGATTAAAGTTGTGTGACACTGCACCTCACTGAATAGTGCTGTTTTATTTTTCGAGTATATTACTATTAATATGTTAAAAATCTGATTAGGAGGAATGGTCTGAATCAGGGACAAGTATAAAAAATTGTTGGGCCAGGGATTTAGCTCAGTGGTGCCGCCACCTGCCTCGCAAGTGCAACGTCCTGAGTTAGACCTCTGGTACCAAAAAACCCAAAATGTTAAAAGCTGTAATTTAGTTAGTTTGTTTGTTTGTTTTTGGTACCAGGGATTGAACTCAGGTCCTTGCACTTGTGAGGCAGGCAGCAGAACCACTGAGCTAAATCCCTGACTGTAACTTAATTTTTATCATATCAAGTACTTCTAATACATGGAAGATTTCTTTAAAAATATGATTGAAGACAGCCAGCTGATATTAATTAGAAATAAGACTTTATGACATGATTTATGTCCAGATACTTGACACACTATTCATGATAAGTGTTTTCCTCAAAAATTTCCTAATTATGGGGCCAGGGATTTAGCTCAGTGGTTCGGTGGCCTGCGTTGCAAGGGCAAGGATCCGAGTTCAATCCCTGGTTCCAAAAAAAAAAAATTCCTGATTATTTTATATATAATAGTGTAATGAATGCTTTTGTCTTAGGTAACATTCGAGTAACTGAAAATAGCTTAGTGCTTAGAGATATCGGCTCATTACTGGAATTGTCTTGTATATTTTAAATATCAAAAGACTAGATTGACAACTCCCCTGATAATGTTAGATAAGACTTAACAAACATCAAAGAATTATAAATAAAAGATACACATTCTGATATATCCCTGTTTATAGTCACAGGAGTTGACTTGCAAAAAACCCAGAGTACTAAAGCATCAGGTTGTTTATCATTTAATGTGACTGTATTAGAATAGTTTTACTGAAAGGAAGGCAAATATGCAATGGAGAAAGATATTAGAAAGCACATTCTACCTGTGCAAAAAACTAATAAAAGCCAGGTTTGGAGGTACATGCCTGTATGGGAGGCTGAGATGGGAGCATTGGAAGTTTGAGCCTATTGTGGGCCAATTTAGTAACTTAATGATTAAGAACCTTGTCTCAAAAAAAAAAAAGTGGGGAATGTTGCTCAGTTTGGAGGCCCTGGGTTCAATCCCCAATGCCACCCCCACAAAAATATATATATATATAAAATAGAAAATTACTTTGCAATGTATGTAATACACACTGAGATGTTTATTTTGCTTGATATATTAATGCCTTTTTTATTAACAGAATGAAACAGAGACTGTGAAAAGGGGATATGAGTACACACCCACACTTTCTGAGGATATGTGTAGCACACAAGACAATGTGTTAGATGGTGAGTATCTTGGTAATATACAAAATAGAGAAACTTTTTTTGTGGCCTGTGATAAAAACAATAATAGCCAGGCACCTTGGTAGGCTGTGTTATATACCTTATTAAATCTAATCCACAAATAGTTCTGTGAAATAAAGATTTTTTAAAAAATTGAAATAAGGGCTGTTTTTAATCCCCATTTATTTGCCCAAGGTCATGTAGCTTTGATTGAGTGAGGTGTGAGTCAAGTTCAGTCTCAGACACTAGAGTCGTATGCTATACAAGTACATGTTTCAAAATGTGTATGTTTTTTAAAATTAATTTTATCTGTACAATTTGAATATATGTAGTGATCACATTCATCAAAGGGAATTTATAAGCCGGGTGTGGTAGCGCACGCCTGTAATCGCAGCACTCAGCAGGCCGAAGCAGGAGGATCACTGTGAGTTCGAGACCAGCCTGGGCTACATAGTGAGTTCTAGGTCAGTCTCAACTACAAAGTGAGATCCTGTCTCCAAAAAAAACAAAACCAAAACAAACAAATAAAAAAACAAGGGAATTTATACCTGTACATGGTGTATTTTGATTCCTCTTTTTCTCCCAGTCACCTCCCCTCCCTTCAATGCTGTTTTCAAGAGCTTTGTTTCCATTTTTTCCTTCTCTTTTTTCTCCCTATTCCCTTCCTTCCTTTCCCCTCTTCTCCCTTTTAAAGTTTCCCTTTGATTTGGAAGAGTTTCTTTCTATTTCATATTATCTATTTTACATTTTGGTCCTTATTTACCCTTTCACTTTCTCATACCAGAGAGACTGCAATATTTACGCATATCTGTCCAATTTATTTCACTTAAGACTATAGTCTTAAGTTGTATACATTTAGCTATAAATGTGTCAAGCTTTTCTTAATGGCTGAGTAGTACTCCACTGTATAAAAAAAAAAAACATCTTTTTTAATTCCTTCATTGGTTGATGGGCATCTAGGTTGTTTCTGAGATTTAGCTATTACGAAGTTGTGTCACTATAAACATGGGTAAGCCTGTATCACTGTGGTAAGATGCTTTTAATTCTTTCACAAAGATACCCAGCAGGGGAATAGCTGGTCAAATGGAACCTCTAATTCTAATTCTTTTTTTTTTTTTTTTTTTTTTTTTTGGTACCAGGGATCTAACTCAGGACCTTGTACTTGTGAGGCAGGCAGTGGAAGCAGTGAGCTAAATCCTTGGCCCCTGAACATTTTTTCGTAATATTTATTTGCTGTTTCTATTTCTTCATCTGAAAAGTATCTATTCATTTCAGATGCCCTTTGGATTGCGTCTTTAAATTTGGGGGGCTGGTTTTTTTTCAATTCTTTGTATGTTCTAGATGTTAGTCCTTTATCTGAGGAAGTACTGGCTAAAATTTTTCTCACTCTATAGCTTGTCTATTTACTCTGTTGGCAGTTTCTTTTGCGGTGCAAACACTTTAGCAGGATGAGAACCCAGTTGTTGATTCTGTGCACTATTTCCCGTGCAGTTTGGGTTTTCTTCATGAAGTTGTTACCTGCCCCAAAGTCCTCCAGAGGTCTACCTATTCTCTCTTCCAGCAGATTCAGTGTTTCTGTTTTAATATTTAGATCTTTGATCTATTTTGATCATAGGAATTTTGGTGGGACAGTTCAGCCTGTGGTTGTGTATACACAGCTTACTGTGTGACAAGCAGAAAACTAGAAAGAAACTTGTAAGGCCCTTAAATATATGAAAGATCACAGAAAAATACTGTTTGATGCATATCAGTTTGATGTGTTTTGGAAGAATGGAAAGCCAAAGGAAGTCCTATGTTATTAGCAGAAGCATAAATTGGGTACAATCACTTTGGAGAATAATTTTACAGTCCTGTAAAGTAGAAGTGTTTTTCCTATAATAGAGCTATACTTCTAGGTATATACCCAGAGCTACACACATTGGTGTACAGGGAAATGTATGTGAGGGTGACCGTAGCAGTCCTGTTTTGAAAAATAGCAAAATTAGGAGAAATTTAAATAGTCAATAAAGCAGTTTGATCTGTGAGTAAAATGAACTAGATCTACATGTATTTACATGGCTAAGTTTCAGAAGCAAAATTTTGAATGAAATACTTGTGTTCTGTTTTGTTGCATGTGTATACACACATATATATGCTATTTCTATAAAAATTTAAAGGATAATACCTAGGGTGGTGCTTTGTGTTTTGAAATTTGTGGGAAACAGGGATAGTGGACTAATGGAACTGTTAAAGTGTTTCTTTTGGTCTGTGGTTGCTGTGAAAAATCACTGAGCCCTTAAGGTTATCACAGAATGAAGAAGTGTGGGAACCTGATATGTATTATTTAGGGATCAGTGAAAGATGAATAAGATAGCTGGGAAGAATGAGTTCATGTGGACTTCAATATAGTGGTTACCATTGGGGAGGGAAAAAGAAAGGAAGAGGTCATTAATTTTGCAACATTTTATTTCATTTGTCTTATTTGCTTCTGATTTTTAAAAAACATTAAATCTGGACAATTGTCATATTGAGAAACAGTACAGTATTACATTTAAAGCAGTATTCTAAAATCTCAGCTGCACTGTTTAGCGACTCTGTGGCCTCAGAAAAATGAGTTAACACCTCTTGTATGTCCTTTTATTTGTAAAAGAGGGATGGTAATAGTACGAAGCTCATGGGATTGGTGTAAGATTAAACAAATTTACATGTATGTGTTCATTATTATACTATAATATGTGCATTTTGGAATTTTAAAAATTATAGTACACAAAAATAATTTTTGTAAATTTGATGTAATGGTATTTTACCAGACTGATATATACCATCCTCTTTTGTAATCATTTGGACAGTTCTTTTCCCTTGTAAAAAGTCACTTTGTTGTCAAGGATTTAGCTCAGTGGTGCCATGCCTGCCTTGCAAGCACAGGTTCTGAATTTGATCCCTGGTACCAAGAAAAAAAAAGTCACTTTGTTTTATTTGCTAGCACAAAACCATGATAAGATCCACACAACAAATAAGGTTTAAATAATATTTAACTCCTAAAATGTGTCAAAGTTTATTTGTAAATATAAATGTTGCCATATAAATTTGTGGTAAACTAATTCTTACTCACTTCTTTCTCTTTCTAATGAGATACTGACATTGGAAGTCACCCCAAAAATATACAGATCCAGCCATTTAACACCAGAATTTCTTCCTTGAGACATTCTGAGCCCATTTGCAAGTTTCACTGGATAGAAGCATTCAATGATGAAATGATGTGTCAAAATCCAGCAGAAGGCTTTTCTTACACAGAGAGGCCAGAATTGCAAAGTCCTGTGTATACTTATACAAAAGACAGTAATGTAACAAAAGATCTACTTAAAGAAGAAAATTCAATGGAAACTAGCATTTCTACAACTAAAGACCAACTTCCTCTTAAGTGTGTCACACAATCATCTAGAAGTCCAAGCCACGGCAATGAAGAGACCCTGCCACTTACAGAAAAGCTGTCGGCTACGCATAGTGCCATGGGATCTATCCTCAAGCCTAGTCAGCCTCAAAACTTTTTGTATAAAACAAGCGTCTCCAGAAATGCTGAAGACCCATCTTATAGTGAGAATAGCTTTACCCTGCATGGTCTGGGAGTTAATTGTAAAACAGAGAAGGTAAGATTGTTGATGGTCAGTGAAGCCTGTGGAATATTAAATTAGACAGGGTTCAGTCTGAGACTTTTCCAAGTACTGTTAAGTCATCAAATCAATAAGAGGGTCTTGGGTCACTGGGGAAAATGTTTTCTGAGATCTTAACCAATTCAAATATAAATTTTTCTAATTCAAATCCATACCTGGAGATTAGCTCTAACAAATGGTCATTTTTATGAGGCTCAAAATTCTGTCTTGTCTTTTATGTGCATGGCATCGAGATGGCACCTTGAATATAATTTGGTTTTTATATTTGTTGAATAAAAGTAGTGGGAAATCATAGGGGAAGGTTGATAAGAGGAAGATGTGCTGAGGTATTGATCATTTGACAATAGAAGCATAGGGTTTTTCTATGCTGGGAGATTTCTATTGGCAAATGAAAAATATTAACTTTTCTACCTACATGAAAAACATGAATTTATCTTTTGGTGTATTAATTCTGGGCACACATATAGTATCTTAAAACATTGAAGATACCAACAATATAATTTCTAAACTCTCTAAACAAAAAAAGCTCCAAGAATTGTGTGGAAAAATAAATATAATCCAACAATAGCCTAAATAATCATCACTTCAATTTAAATTTATAAGTTATAGTTACTGTGTTTCATTTACAAAATGAGTTTATTTTTTGTTCATTTGGAAGTAAAGGACAACGTTTAGAAGAGAATTTTATTCTCCCTTATTCATTTTTGGAAAGCAGCATTTTTAAAAACCTGCTTAATTATGGTTTCTTATAATTGCTCCTTCATGTTTCCATTGTATTTAGTCATTTATTTCAGCCAGCCGGTATATACTTCTGGGGAATTTACTTTGTACCAGTCTCCACCCTATGTGTTGGTTATATAATTGTTCAAAAACAAACAAGCATATGTTTTGTATAAAAATACCATCCCAGTAGAGGAGACACACATTAATCTAGGAATCACAGAAAAAAAGTATAAATTTGCATTTATTTGTTTATTTGTTTGTTTATTTATTTTTGGTACCAGGGATCAAACTCGGGCCTTTGCGCTTGCAAGGCAGGTGGAGGAACCACTGAGCTAAATCCCAGGCCCTAAATTTGCATTTATGTTAAGAGTTGTAGGGAAGTAAGGTGGTCATCTGTAATGGGTACTGCCCTGGTCAGGGAGTCTGGTCAAGCTTCCTTAAGAATCAGTCATCAAGCTGAGCCTGAAAGATGAGCAGGTATCCTAAGGCATCTGTGGGTGGGAAAGCACCCCAGGCCAGAGTTACAGACCTTCGGTGTCCCACTAAGGAAGTAAGGTATCTGCTAGGACTTGAAGGAAGCCCAGCATGCAGGAAATGCAAGTTTCAGAAAGGATGTTGTAAGTGAGAACACAAGGGAGGCCAAATCAGCTATTAAGAGCAGATATCAGCCTTTGAAGGCTTCAGTAAGATAATTGTCTTCATCTCACAGCAACAAAAATCCATAAAAACCAGGGTTGTAGTATCTCTAAATTGGTCTAATACTACTCCTCATGCACTGTCATGCTGGATTTTCAATGTCATTCATTGCAGGGTTCCTCACCACACTTTTCTGTCCTTTGTTACCTTCCCCAAACCCATACTGGGGGCATAAAGTCAATCATAAGATATGTGTTTCTGCCACTCTAATGTTCATAGAAGCCATAGCATGGAGAAGTAATTGTCTCGATAAAGAATTTTAGCCAGGCGTGGTGGCACACACCTGTAATACCAGCACTTGGGAGGCTGAGGCAGAAAGATTGCCGTGAGTTTGAGGCCAGCCTATGCTACATGATGAGCTCAAAACCAGCCTGAACTACATAGTGAGACCTTGTCTCAAAAAAAAAAAAAAAAGGAATTTAAAGAAGTCTTAATTTAAAACAGAGCCTTTGGTGTTCAGAAAAGTTTGCATCATAGAAAATTGTGAGCATCAAAGTATAATTTTTCTTTTGTTCAAGTAAACATGAATACATATCTCTGTAATATATACGCCCACTGCTTGTGTTTGCTGTGCTTTTAGATACTCTACATGCATTCAGCAACTAATACTTAGGTGTTAACTTTGTTAAGTAAATATTATTGGAGATAGGTATTATTGTTCTTTTGTAGCTGAGGAAACCAAAGTAGCAATATGGAATTCAGGACCAGATCTGACTCCAAAGTTCATGATCTTTCTATTCTTTGACATTTATTTTATTTACTATGATTTACAGACTGAATTTTCTTCAAAAGAAGTTCAAATTTCTGAGGATATTTCTGAGGTGTCAGTCAGTCACCAGGAGGAAGTCCTGGTGGAAGGTTTGGAAAGCCCAAGGACTGGCTCAATTTGGTCCCCAGCGGGTGTCTCCAGGAGTGTTGAGGCCTCTCAAGAGACCTGTGTGGCACTGGACTTGGAGCAAAGCTCTGAAAACTCACAGCCTCTACAAGAGGACATGGCTTTAAATGAAGTCTTACAGATATTGCAACATACAAATAGAGAGCAGCAAATGCAAATCCAAGACCTTCAGTGTAGCAACCTGTGTTTACAGAAGAAGAACAAAGAGCTACAGATGAAGATTGTCAAACAGCCAGTGTCCTTGGACATCATTAGTAAGCTAGAGAAGAATATGGAAGAATTAATTGAGGAAAAATATAACATGAAGCTAGAGAAGAGTGACATTAATAGGAAATTGCAGAATTTGCAAGAGATTTTAGCTATCACTGAAAAGCATCTTCAGGAATCCAGGAAAGAGAAGGAAACCTTACAGCTCCAAGTTGAAAAAGTCAAGACCAATTATACTCATTTACAGGAAAGGTACATTACTGAAGTTCAACAGAAGAATAGGTCTGTAAGCCAGTGTATAGAAATGGATAGAAGCTTGAGTGAGAAAGAAGGAGAAGTAGAAAGACTGCAGCAACTCAAAGGAGAGCTGGAGAGGGCCACCACTTCTGCTCTGGACTTGTTGCAAAGAGAAAAAGAGACCCGACAGCAAGAGTTCTTAGCTTTACAGGAGGAGTTCCAGAAACATGAAAAGGAAAACCTGAAGGAGAGACAGAAATTGAAATTGAGAAATGAGAAATTGATCACTCAAGTTAAAAATTTGCTGTTCGTCTGTGAAAATGAAAAGGCTAAGAATATAAAACTCCAGCTGCAGATCAACGAGGTAAAAAATGAAAGCACACAACTTCAAGAGCAGGTCATGAGGCGTAAGGAGCAGAATTGTGTCCTGAAAGCTGAGACTGCTCAGTTGCAAGAGCAATTAGAGGAAGGAATGGAGCCAGATATTGCCAAGGTATTGCTGCAGATTCTGAATCGCTAACCCAGAACTCCCAAGTTTCTAGTAGTTTCTTGATGCACTGAGACATATACTTACGTATAATATATGTTTTCAGAAAGAATTATTAACAAAAAAAATTTTTTTAAATCGCCACAGGTTTGGAGACATTTCTTTGGTTCCTGGGCACTCATTCCCCTTAAACAATAGCCATTTTTGGCTTGTTTTGATTATTTTGGTAGAGGCAATGATTTGGGGGGATTTTTTTTTTATATAGGGTCGGTCTTTGTAGTTCAGGCTGGCCTTAAATTCCCTGTGTAGCCCAGGATGCCCTCAAACTTGTGGCAATCTTCCTGCCTCAGCCTCCTAAGTACTGGGATTACAGGTGTGCACCACCACGCCCAGCCTGGCAGAGGCGACAACCTGTAAGTTTTTTGGGGCCTCATGACCTTTTCATCTCAAGTGGTCCCAGAAGTTACCTTTGCAAAATGATTTTCTAAATGTGCCCCAGTCCTAGTCAGCAATAAAACTTTAATTGTACTGTGCAACAATGCAACTGCATATTTGGTTTACAAGATAGAGCAAACCTACATTATATATTAATTTTATTAAATCACAAAGCATTTTAAAATAGCATAACAACATCATATCAGTGTGTATTTGGATAGGCTATGGTTTTTAAAATATCTGTAATAAAAAGACCTTTTATTTTTTCCAAAACCTGAAAATGCATCAAATAAGGAATGATTTTCACAAGCTGGGGCCTATGTACTATATTTCAGTTTTTTGTGGGCATGGCTGAAAGTATTTGAATTTTTACTAAGCATAGTTAAATCTTATTAACTCTAACTGCTTAGAAAAACCATTTTGAACTAGAAAAAATATGTAGGTTTTGTTTTTTACATGTGTTATAGTAACTTGAACTGAATCGAGTTTTGCCTTGAAAGTGTCCTTAGAAGACTCCCATGAATCTATAATTGGTGTATTATCTCTGAAAGATTATTTTTCTTTTGAGACAGGGTCTCACTGTGGTTTAGGCTGGTCTTGAACTCACTGTCTAGCCCAGGCTGCCCTCAAACTTGCAGCAGTTCTCATGAGTGCTCTCCAGCCTCCTGAGTGCTGGGATCACAGGCATGCACCACCACTCCCAGCAATCAGTGTATTACCTGCAAGTAAATAATTCTGTTTTTAAGGATTCTTCCTTATTGTCAAATTTAAAAAGGGCTGGGCATGTAATTCAGTGGGAAGGCCCTACTTCGGGGGTTGGGGGAGTAAAGCATTGCTCCTTTTCACTAATTGTTACTGTTTTATTTTTGGTACTGGGGATCGAACTCAGAACCCTGTACTTGCCAGGCAGGCACTGTGCCTCCTAGCTATATCCCTGGCCCCTATTTATCTTTCCTCAACACCTAATGCTTCCATGTCTACAGGAAAATAAAATATAAAATAATGTGATCAGTTGAAAGCTAAAGATGTCAAGGGAGCCCCCCCTATTTTAGCACTTCTGCATTTCAGAGTAGCAGTACTGTACTCTGGGTCAGTCACTCTGCCTAAAGATCAGTGATTGTTCATATTAATGACCTAAAAAATAGCTCCCCACCCAGGGGGCGCTGTGTAGAATAAAGAATGAAGTAAGCATCAGAAAGGTCCTGGCAGGGCTGGGGATTTAGCTCAGTGGTTCCTTACCTGCTTTGCAAATGCAAGGACCTGAGTTTGATCCCTGGTACCAAAAAAAAAAAAAAGTTCCTGGCTTCACTTCTTTTTTTTTTTTTTTTTGGTTTTTTTGAGACAGGGTCTCACTATGTAGTTGAGAATGACCTGGAGCTCACTATGTAGCCCAGGCTGGCCTTGAACTCACAGCGATCCTCCTGCCTCACCCTCCCGAGTGCTGGGATTACAGGCATGCGCCACCATGCCCGGCTCTGGCTTTAGTTCTTGATTATGTGAATTGGACACATAATTTAACCTTTCTCAGCCTTACTCACTTCATTTTAAAGAGAACAAATGCTGAAGCACCACATTTAGTGAGAAAACAAATCCAAGGGTATGTTTTCAAATTCTTTCTCTTCCCTTCTCTTATCGAACATTTCTCTTTTGAGTGCACCCATACGAAGCTGGGTGTGGTGGCACACCCCTGTAATCCCATCCATTGGGAGGCTGAGGCAGGAAGATCACAGCAAGCTCTAGGCCAGTCTGGCATACAGTGAGCTCAAAAACAGCCTCAACTACATAGTAAGACCCTGTCTCAAAAAACAAAACAAAAAAAAAAGTACACTCGCTTGAATTGAAATTTGGGGACATAGGTGTGTCCTGTTCTGATCCAAGACAAATCCAATTTCATTTTTTTAGCTAAAATTTAGCCTCAGGGAAAATCTTTTAATCTAGTTTCCCAAACTGTTCCCCTTAGGACAGCACTATTTCTGATGCTGAACACTTCAAAGAAAGTGAGAAAGTGAGAGAAACGATGCTACAAAAATTGAAGAGCCTTCATCTTAAAAAGAAAGATTTCGACAAAGAGGTACTATTTTTATTCTTCTAAAAATCCTATCAGTTTAATGAAAACAATAGTCAAAGAAAAAGGCCACAGAGAAATTACTTCTAACATTGGGATTCCTTGAAGAATGGTTGGAGTAGCTTTCCTGTGACCCTCAGTGAGTAGATAGAAAATTCGGCATTCGAGTTGTTTTATTACATCCATCATGAAGCATTAGAGAATCTCTCTCATCTACAAATGCGGTGTGATTGCTTTTCCCAGTTTGCATGGCACTGTTAATCCCTAAAGAATTGTTTATTCTGATAAATCTATAGTGGTTTCAAAGTTGACTTGAAATAATGGAAATATTGGAAACAAATTTTATTTCTCTGGGGAAGAAGAGCAAGAGCAGATGTTCTCAGTTTCTCCAGTTGGTTTTCTTGGTGTGGTGGTGTACGGGATGACAATCAAGAAAGTTAAACAGGGAAGGTGCTAATGGGATGTTAAATTGCGTCATTTTTAAACTGAGGGAAATACACAGACAATAGCTGACAAGGAGAATAAAAGCATATTCACCTCTGGAATCGTGGATCAGAGCAGTTAGTTCTATACTCTGAACTGATGTGGATGGAAATATGCTGCAGATGTCCTGGGGAATCTCTGTCTTCCAGCCAGACTGTGGAGGAGAGGATAGGGGAGAGTGGTGCAGGCGAACCACTGGCCTGTGTGTCAGTGCTTCAGCCCTTCACAAAGAGCCCAACTGAGGGGGTTGCAGGAGTACAATTTCAGTTATTTATGTTCTTTTGGCTGATATCTGGATGGCTTCTGAAAAGTTGACGGATGCAGTTTAAATATTGAATGTTAAGATTTGAGCTGGGCCTGGCAGCACATGCATATAATCCTAGCACTTGGGAAGCTGAAGCAGGAGGATGTCTAGTTCAAGGCTGGCCTGGACTGCATAGTGAGACTGTCTCAAAACAAACAAACAAAAAATTAGTACTATACTGAACAAATAAATAATCATAAGTTACAGTCAGGCAAAATTGGTTTTTTAGGGTTTTTTTGATAGTGGGGACTGAGGGCCTGGTACATCCTAAGCAAATACTCTACCATTGAGCTGCACCCCCAGCCCTACCTTTCTTTTTATTGGTAGGGGCACACCAGGAATAGAACTCAGGCCCTTGCACTTGCCAGGCAGTTTCAGCCCCCTTGAGCTAAATCTCCAGCCCTCATTTCTTTCTCTTGAAAGAATTTTAATGGCCTGATGGTCACAACAATTGCATATTCAAACTAGGCCCCCAAGGCCACTGAGGATTTGAGGATATGCTGAAGGCATCCAGTCCTGTACACAGCTGATTTATTTCAGTAAAAGTCTCCAGAGCAGAATTGGCCAAGGGAAGGCCATGGGGAGGAAAGCACCCTCAAGGAGTCGCAAAGAGTCACAGAGGAGAGGCACCCTGGCCTGGAGATAGAGGTCAGGGGTTTACAGGGCTGTGTGCTCAGGTGCCTTCTGCCTTGCGCATTGAAACTGCAGCCCCAGAAGTGAAGCAGGTGCTCAGTTCAAGCCACCTGCTTGGGACAACCAAATTGGCATGGTGGGCTGCACCTGTCAGGAAAGGCTGCACCTGAATCCAAGGCCTTGCTGTTGTAGGCCTGCTGTGTGAACTCATTCCTCACAGAGCTGTAAAGACTCAGCATCTCATGGAGACCTGAAATTGGACTGTGCATGGTGGGTTACCTTCACTGTACGTGGTAGAGAGTGCAGTTTTATTTCTTTACATCTAAAATATAAATGCTTTTGCTCCCTAGCTACTGAAACATAACGACAGAATCATAACTTTTAGAGAGCTAATTGCCAGTGAAAAAGCGTTTCAAGATCACTTCACTGAGGTGAGTTTAACATTTATTATGTGTTGTCTTTAATGTGTTAAACTACAAGTGCAGATATTTACGTTCTCTGGATAAATTTGGTGAGGTCCTTCTAGGTCCAAGTTTTGTACTTCTGTGATTCCAGCCTCTCACCAGTCAGTCATCTCTTTGAATATTAAAGACTAGTGAAGTATGTGTTATTAAATGTTCCAAGTTTTGTGTAGGTATTAAAAATGGGCACAAATATATTTCTTCTCAGATGACCGATTTTGATGCCGATGAAGCCAAAAATGTGAAAGATGTACCTATCTTATTGGGAGCCAAGCTGGATGAGTACCACAATCTAAATGAAGAGCTGGATTCTGTGGTAAGAAAGGTCTTTTGTTGCTTTGTTATCATTTTATACTTGTCACCATTTTACCAAGTTTAAGAAATTAATCATTAACCTTTAGAAGTTTGCTCATTGAAATGGTCACACACTGGCATGGTGGCAGTACTGGATTCTCTACAAAAGTGCAAAACTGATGTGTTTTCATGTTTTGAAATTTTAAATAATTGTCTTAGTTTCTGTTTAGACTACAGTAAACAGATTTATGTCATTCCAACTGTAGAAACCACAAAATATGTGCTATTTTTCTCTTTTCTTTGCTTTTTTTTTTTTTTTGTTCCGAGACTGAACTCAGGACTTGCACTTGTGAGGCAGGCACGGTGCCACTGAGCTACATCCCCAGCCCAGCATGTCATCTTTCATTGTGAATGAAGCACATTTTTACTGGCCTATGCTATTGTATTGTCATTGGGTGGCCTGGGGACCAGCAGTCTTTCCTAGGTTCTTATTTGTCCTGATCAATGAATTGGTCAGGACAGTTGCTGGGTGTGATAGATTACTGTTTATTTTACTGCAGAAGTAAGAAAAAGAAAAGGTGGACCAGGGATTTAGTTCAGTGGTTCCACTGCCTGCCTTGAAAGTGTGAGGTCCTGAGTTTGATGCCAGTACCAAAAAAAAAGAAAAAGAAAAGGAAAAGAAGTGCAGAAGAAGCGCTCAGGGAGAAAAGATACTTTACAGGAAAAAGAGGGTTCTTGCAGGACAGACTACTGGAAGAACAGGAGGGCAGTGGCCACAGAGTCAGCGGCTGCCGGCCTTTTGTCTTCTTTGGCAGCTGATCCAGATGGTGTCCCACTCGATCTCATGCTGGAAGATTGGTGTCAGGTGCCAGGTTCGGTGCGTTCTCATATCGGGAGATTGGCACTGGGTGCAGGGCTCAGCCTGAGCCTGAGTCGGGCTCGGGTGCTGCTGCTGCTCTGCCCATGTAGGTGATAAGTCCCCTTGGCTGCAGACCATGCCCGGCTGCTCAGCCACGATGCCCTCACCTCCTGCTCCAGCATTAGCTGTGTTAAAAAACCATGATGGGGAATGGCGCTCCGAGTTTAGTCCAAGTGGTCCATACAGATAGAAGTAGAGAAAGAGGAAGAATCCAGCAGAAGAAAATGACAATGTGATCTTGGAACCTAGACAGTTACAGAGCAGTTGTAAAATTCATTTGGTGCAGTATGAGTTTCAATACATGCATACAGTGTGTACTGATTTCAAATTGGGGTAATTAATGCTCGAACTCATTCCTCATTTCTTTGTGTTTTGAGCTTTTCTCTTCTGGTTGTTTATAAAATATGTAGCAGATTATTGTGAATGCTGGCCTCGCAGAAGGCAAGAGTTCTATAGAAGAGCAGAATTGATTACTTCTGTCTGTGTTCTGGTATCCAAATTCCCTTCTTCCTCCACTCTTCCCAGTCCCTAGTAATCACTATGTTATATTTAGGTCAACTTTTTTTAGCATATGCATAGGAGATAGATTATGTGGTATTTGTCTTTCTGTGTCTTTATTTCATTTAACCCAGCGCCTTGTGGTATTATCCTCATTATGTAAGAGAGAAAAAGAAGGACAGTTTCTACAGCAAATCTGCTTTGTTGTTGCTTATACTATCGGGTTCTTCACTATAAACGTCTAAGTACATTTAAATAATAGATTGAAAGCCACTCTTAACACTGTATTTACTAAATCTTCCATAGTTTTTCTTCTTATAATTGCTCTGAATATTAAGGGACCTGCTAGGGGAACTTGTGAATACCCTTTCCTGATAATTCTTTCACTTTTAGAAGCACAGTATAAAAATTTTAATGGTACCTTGCAAGTAAAAATGGACTATACAGCAGACCATGAAATATATAAACAGAACCTTTTTAAAAACCTCCAATTATTTATGCAAGGGAGAATATTTCTCAGACCTGAGCATGTATCATCATGTACAGCCTCACTGATCTCCTTCAGAGAGAATCAAATATTTTTCTGCATTGATCATGGAAAAGAAAGTAAAGATTTGAGGCTAATAAATATTTGCATGTACTAACAGATAGTTATTTGCCAAGTTATTTCATAGTGTGCAATGAGAGAGAGATAAAATGCCATTCGAATTCTTGCTCACCTGTTCTGTGTGCCGTCTAATGAGGATCCAGTTCATAGCATCACAGATTCGCCTAACGGACAACTCAGTGAAGGTGGATATTGGGCACTGAGTGCAGTGGTGCAGACTTGGGGGGCTGAGGCAAGAGGATTACAAGTGCAAGGCCAACAGGAGCAACATAGAACAAGACTCTATCTCAAAAAAATTTAAATTTAAATTTAAAAAAAGGATAACGGAATAAGGATAACGCACTGTCCTCTTTTGTTCTCACTACCCACATTAGCTTTCAAGGTATTTTTCAGGTTAGTGTTTTCACCAATGTTTCTCTGTAGATCAAAAAACTGGGAAGTCTTGTAGAGTCCAAAGAAGACCACTGCAACAAGCTCATTGAAGAGAATGACAAGTATCAGAGACACTTAGGCAGCTTAATAAATAAGGTACACATTTTCTTACAGAAATATTTGCCTTCTAAAAAGTATGTCAAATATTAAAATAATAGAATCAGGAGGAAAAGGATCTGAGGTTTGATGTAGTGCATTTACATTGATGTCTTTCCCTTCATAATGGCATTAGAAGATGTCCCACCAGCCTTTAGCTGGATGCTAGCAGAGATCATGGTGTGTGTCTGTCCATCCTACTGCAGGAAATTTGGTCTTGGCATTGCAACTTCACTTTCAGGGTAATTATAAATCTTGCCAATTTAGTGTTCCAGTTAGTTTTAAAAATCTGCACTAACCTTAACCAAATAGACTGGCTCCTTCCTTGGCACACACCTTGGTGTATGGAATAAACACGCTGTGTGTTGAATCACTGCACTTGTCTGTATCTGCAACATGACGAGTAGATAGAATTCTACTGTTATTCATATTTCTCATCTCAAAATCTAAGGAAGATGTTTTGTCTGCTGTAAAATTTTCATCAATGTAGTCAAATAACCTTAAACTTGCAGAGATTTTTAAAAAGGAGAAAAAAACCAAAATTTAATAAAAACACTAGAAATTGTTAAAGGATGATTTGTTTAGCTTATTTTTTTCAAGGTTACATCGTATGAAGAAATTATCAAATGTGCTGACCAAAGGCTCGAGGTATCCCATTCCCAGATTGTGCAGTAAGTAGACAAAACTGTTTCACTTTTATGAATATTTACTAATATTTTATTTCACCCTCTGGCTTCTGAGTTCATTTCTTCTGACTCCCAGAAGAAGAAAAGTGAGGATTTGTATGTTCAACCCCTCCTTCATAAGTAGAGGTTCACAGTCAGTTTAATGTCTGGTCTACTTAAGACAGAGCTCCTTTTAACTTTAGGAGTTGATGAAGGAATTAGTGAGAAACACCCAAAAATGTCAGAGGATATTTTCATAATGTTTAAGTAAAATAACTTTGCAATGCTTAGAATTTATTCATAGAAAGTTATTGAATGCCTACAAAATTGAACATATATGAAGTATCAAGTAAATTCTCTCACTGAAATGAAATTCAGCTTGACATTCCAAAAGCACCATCCTTAAATTTTGCCATTTTACACCGATTTAACTGCTGCTTCTTCTGTCTTCCCTGATTTCATTTGCACTTGCTATTGCTAGCACTTAAGGAAAAGGCCTCTTGTACAAAGAAAGCCCACCTGAAAGCCTGAAGTAATTGAAAATGTAGGTAGCAGTAGCTTTGCTTGCTTTTGTTTTTCACTGTCATTTTGAAGCAGAACAAATGGTAAACAGCTTTTCCTTTTCTTACATTAATGCAGGCAAGTTTTCAATTTGTAGTGGGCGAGGAGATAGTTTACTGAGAAGGAGTAAAATTAGTCTTCCCCATCTTATAGCCAAGAATATTCAATCAGTGTTCAATAATTATGGCCTCATGGAGTTGAAATTTTTTTTTTAAAATTTAAAAACAATATCAAACTATCATTTTGGCCACATTGTCTTGCCCCAGTTATTTTTTTAAATTTAAGAAATCTTAAAAGCATGTTTCAGTTGAGAGACTGACCCAGTTTAAGAAGGGTATCTGAATTCTATATGCTATATTAAAAGGATTATCAAGCCAAGCATGGTGGCACATGCCTGTAATCCCAGCAGCCTGGGAGGTGGAGGCAGGAGGATCACAAGTTCAAGCCCAGCCTGGGCAACTTAGTGACTCAGACCCTGCCTCAAAAATAAATTGTTTTTGGACCAGGGATTTAGCTCAGTGGTTCGGTGGCCTGCCTCACAAGCGCAAGGACCCCAGTTCAATCCCCGGTACCAAAAATAAATAAATAAATAAATAAATAGTTTTTAAAATGGGGGCAGGGGCTGAGAATGTAGCTCAGTGTAAAGGCCCTGGGTTCTATCCCCAGTATGGGAAAAAGAAAAAAAAAAAGCAATGTCAATTGTGGCCGCCTATTACAATTCCCTTTAGTGGGTTTTGAAAAATACCAATGTCTAGGTAAGCTTACATCCTAGGTGAGACATGGGCACCAGGTAATTTAAAGCTGTCCAGATCATTTGAGTATCTAGACAGGTTGAGAACCACTGTCAGGTATCATGTGAGTTGATTTGCTTTAAAGAATCAGGTTTTTTTTGTGTTTTAAAATTAAATATAGTCTATTACATCCAGAAAGATATTTTTAAAAATTATAGTGATTTAGTTTTTGTATCATTGAAAGGTATAGACTGCTTTGAAAATTATGAAATACGTGGGCTGGGGATTGAGCTCAGTGGTTCCACTGCCTGCCTTGCAAGTGCAAGGTTCCAAGTTCGGTCCCCAGTACCAAAAAAAAAAAAAAAAAAAAAAAAAAAAAAATTCTGAAATATGTCATCAGAGCAGTATTACAGTATTCCTTTAACTTGGTGGTGGTCTATAGAGTCTGTTAAAATTCAGCAGTATCTAAGGTATTGCACTCCAGGTTTACAGTATTCTCTATATTTACTGACCACCCTGTAATTTTTCCATTCACATGTTTTGGATGTTAGAAATAGCTGCTTACTACAAAAGCCATTCATGAGATTTGATTTTTTTTCAAAAGACTAAAAGAAGACACTTGGTAAAGTCCTCTTTACCAGCAGGTGTGATCTGTATGAAACATAAACCTCACCATCCCATTTTGCATCTTAAAACACTTTAGTAATTTTTCCAACAGGTTTTTTGAGAAAAAAAGACTTTGCTGTAGTACTAGGATGGGGAGAGATGGGGAGGTGTAGATGTAGCAACCATCGCCCTGGTGGCCTCGTATGCCAAAGGTAGTGGTACCACTTGGCTCATGATTTTCCCAGGGCCACCCTCCAGCTCCCAACCCCATGTTCCTGAGGCAGGGGAGATGCTGAACAGCACTCCGGGACAAAATCCATCTTCCCTCGCTAAAGCCCTCGGCTGAGCCTGGTGACAGGAGTTGCATGGTCATGGCATCTAAGCTGAGGCCTTGGCAGGTCAGCTGCCTCCCTCATGGAAAGAGAGCACTCTGGCACTTTCCACTCAGAAATTCGTTTGTTTTATTTTATGAAAAAATAAAATTTCATAACAAAATAAGAGAATAGTAATAATTAATACACTGTACCATTAACTTCGAAGTAGTTACTCCTCAGAGTACAAGACAAAGACCAAAATGATTCTTGGGAAGAAGAACCAAATAACACAAAATGTTCTTTTCAATGAACTAAGATAAATTTATAATATAAATTAAACAAATCAGCAATTTTTTTTTTTAGCAAAATATTTTTGAAACAACAGAATATAAGCCATTTGGGGCAGTGTTTGAACTCCTCCCTGCTTCCTACTTCTCTTTTCTATTTTGCACTTTATTTGTCAGAAATTCTTAACATGGCCTACAAGTTTCTTCATGATCAGGCTCCTGCCCACCTTTCCAGTGCCACCTGCATCCCTCAGCTTGCTTTTAGCCACACTGGGGATCGAGTTTCTCAAATCTTCCACATTCCCTTTGGCTCCTGAGTTTTGTACACGTTGTTCCAAGTGGAATGCCCAGGCTCTTCATCCCACTTGTCCCCTGCCACCTTCCAAATTGGTCCAAATGACATTTCCTGAGAGGTGCATTCACTATCTCCAGAGTTATGGTTTAGATATAAAAGGTCCCGAAAATCTCATGTGTTCAGAGATGAGGCCTGGTCGGAAGGGACAGGTCACTGGGTGAATGACCTAGAAGGGCTTGCAGGCATTCCTCCTTGAATTATGCTCCCAAGACTAGGTTGGCCAATGAATTGGTTGCTAAATGAGGAATTCTATATGGAAAGTCCCTTACAATATTCAGAACAAAGAAATGGTCAAAGGAATCTCCAACTTGACTTTTTTTTACTGCCATAACTCTTATAGGCAGTAGTATAATTATAACAACTATAGCACTGTGCTGTAGAGTATAGTCAGCAAAATTTACAGTACTGTATAAACAAGTTATACTGTACAAAAACACACTGGGGCTCCATAATTAAGATATAGAGAACTCTGCAAAAGAAGATGGGTGCTAAGTTCAAACAGTTGTTACACAGCCAGGTTGTTAAATGAGGAAGGTCCATATTCTTGTTCCTGGCTCTTCCCTTTTCTCTGCTTCTGGGATGCAATGAGTTGGGCAGCATTCTTCCGCCAGGCCCTTTGAGCATGCTGTTTCTGTCTTGGAGCCAACCAGCCATGGACTAAGTCCTCTAAAATCCTCAGCCTAAATAAACCTCTCCTTTAAGTCATAGGTGTCAGAATTTTTTCCCCAGTGATGGGAAATGACTAACATATCGTTTGAAGGCAGAAGCCTGGACAAAGTGGTGTTAGGTTTCAAAATGACAACCTATAAACTCTGTGCTGGGGCATAATGTGTTCTATTTTGACCATGTAATGTTTAAAATATTTTAAAATTGACAAAATTTTCAAAGGGAGATATCATATGTGTGTGTGTGTATATATATATATGTGTATTTATTTATGTATATTATCTTTTTTTAAACAGGTTCTCATTATCCAGCTCAGTCTGGCCTGGAACTATGTAGCCCAGGCTGGCCTTGAGCTTGCAAATTCTCCTGCCTCAGCTTCCCAACTGCTGGCATCAAAGGCATGCACCACTATACCCAGGCAAAAAATTTCAATTTCTGTCTCCTCTTTAAAAACAAGATCTGACATTGCTACAGCAATCCCACATAGCATGGTCCCTTCTTCCCTTAGATGGAATCTAGGGCTTTATGCTCTGGTGTCTGTGAATCACCATCAGTTGGCTTTGCTTCCACACACCTGTCTGAGCCTTCTGCAGGCCACTGCATTTGTGCCTGTGTAGTAGGGCCTCATCTCTCTGGGGGGGGGGGTCTGTTTATTTACCTTCTGCAGGAAGCTGCAGAATGGCCCTCAAGGAGATCCCAGTCCTAACCCCAAGGCCCAGTGAAGGCAAGGGAGACTTTGCAGATGTGATTTGAATCAACAAGATCACCTGGGATCTCGAGACGAGGAGATTGTCTGGGATACCTGGGTGGGCCCTTGAGTGCAGTCCCATGTGTCCTAATAGAATGGACGCAGAGAAAATCTGATGACGGAAGACTGAAGAGGCAGTGGGGACAAGCAGGGTGAAAGGTGCTGTGACATGGAGCCAAGGCCGCAGCTCCGGCTGTGTTTCTGCCCAGCTGGCCCCAGGGCGGTGCTGGGTCTGCATGGAGGGACCCATTCTCCATCCACCGTACAAGCCAAGAGAAGATCTGTATGCCCTTTTATATATTTGCTATGCCCTTTTATATATTTGCTATGCCCTGCTGCACTTCTTCACCATGGAGACCTATGAAGGGGGAAATGGACCAAATAATTCAAGTCGTTAGAAGAACCCCCAGTCCTTCCTTATATGGTGAGCTGGCTGGATGAGGTACAAAGAATAGCTAGATTGAATTTAGCAAGTCCTCCAGTGAATCTCTTAAGTATTCACCTGGAAAAGTTCTTTTTAGTCATAAAATGCAGTTGCTTCTTCTTTCAGTTTGGAAGAGAGAAATAAGTATTTGGAAGATTTAATTAGAAGGCCCACAGAGAGAGCCAGAAAACCAAGGTAAATTTTCCTTCCTTTTTATTTATTTATTTTTGTATCAGGAATTGAACTCAGGACCTTGCGCTTGCGAGGCAGGTGGCAGAACCACTGAGCTAAATCCACAGCCCTTTCCTTTTTAAAAAAATAATGTTTTGCCAAGTATGGTGGGGCACACCTGGAATCCCAGCCCTCAAGGAGACTGAGGCAGGAAGATTACCGGGAGTTCAAGGCCAGCCTGAACAATAAACCCTGTCTCAAAAAACAGTCTTTTATGTATAATAGTGTATTTTAAACATTTTCCCTATTTCAATATAAGATAAATTATATGAAAGCACTTGGTACTTTGCTTAGCACAAATAGTTGTTTGATAAACATTTTTTTCTGCAGCACAAATTAGAAAGCCAGACTGCCTGCCCTGATGGATCATATACTCACTGCTAAGGAAGATAGTACACTGCTAAGGAAGATAGTATAAAGTATGAGCTGATGTTTTTGTTCATAGAAGAACTGCTTGTCCTGCTACATTTTTTATGACAAGATTAAATTCTTGTTTTCTCTTTTCTGAGACAGAGTTTCACTATATAGTACAGGCTGGCCTTGAACCCATGGCAATCCTACTGCCTCAGCCCGAATTCTGGGATTGTAGGCATGTGCCATCACACCCAGTTACACTAAAATTAATTTTCCCCCCCTGGTACCGGGGATCGAACTCAGGACCTTGTACTTTTGAGGCAGGCACCATGCCACTGAACTAAATCCTCAGCCCACTAAAATCAAATCTTAAAATCTGTTATTTTGTTTTGGTTTTATTGGCCTCAAACTCACTATGTAGCCCAGGCTGGCCTCGAACTCAGTGATCCTCCTGTCTCAGCCTCCCATGTGCTATGATTATAGATGTGCTAAAATCTGTTACTTTAGAAGTCCCAGCTGGTCTTGTAGTCTAGCGCTACAAAGGCTGTGTACAAACCCGCAAGGCTGATTAAGAACATAGCTGCATGTCAGGTGGCCTCTTCCTCATACCTTATACCCACACCCAGTAGTGGGACTGCTGGATCTCGGCTCTGTAGGTGCTGATAAAATAGTTACCAGTTCCCAAAGTGAGAGCAAGTTAGTTTGTTTTAACATGCATAAATAACTTTCAAATAATTTGTACAAAAATAGTTCTGCATAATGTAAGATGTAACAACACCCCACAAAATGTATCAGAACAGTGGCAGATGTGGCCCTGAGGTCCACAGTATATTGATGCCGGAACCCTGGGCCTGGCAAGGATCTGGGTGTCCAAACAAAACCACCACGGAAGAAACCCCACCCCACCCACGCCCATGCAAGCCCTCCTCTCCCGCAGTCACCACGCTGAGGCGCCCCTCCCCCGGGCAAGACGTGCGCATGGAGGCCCTCCACCCCGCAGTCCGGATCCCCAGCTCCAGCGGCAGCAGAGCCCTTGAGTCCCCACCCCCCGTGTTTACACGCTCGTCCTTGCACTAATTCAGTCTTTGCAGAAGTTTTTCTTCCACTTGCTCGAACCGGACCCTCGCGGACATCTCGGTGATGAATAGCTCACAGCCTTCCCTGGTAACTCGCTCGCAGGACCTCAGGTCGATATGGCGGATGTTCCCGCAGCGTCGGAAGAAGGCCAGGCTCTGATCGGTGATCTGACTGCAGTCCGCCAGGGTGACCTCGGTCAGCGAGTCCCGGGTGGCGGTGGCGGCCTCCGTGAGCAGGTGGACGGACTGGTCCGTGACGTGGTGACAGTAGCGGAGGTGCAGCTTGGACAGTAGGGGCATGTGGCGGGTGATGAGCCACAGGGAGGCGTCCGTGATGTCCAGGCCGTCCAGGTGCAGCTCCACGACGTTCCGGAGCCTGCTCCGATGGTCCGCCTGGCCCGGCCTGTTGTCTGTGGGCGGGGACAGGAGGTCCCGCATCTGCATGTCCTTGAGCCCTTCTACCCACTGAACATCCAGGGTTCGGAGCAGCGGGCAGCTGGAGCTACAGAGCGCGGAGACGGCGATCCACGAGCAGCCCGCCAGCGCCAGGTCCCGGAGCCTGGGCAGCCGGGTGATGAGCCACCCCAGCTGCTTCTTAGAGATGTTGGTCCAGCTGAGGTCGAGGGAGACAGGCTGGCGCCGGATGATGCCGGTCAGCATCAGGGGTGTGACAGACCCGCAGCGGTTCAGGTCAATGCGGGTCCACAGCTGCTTGTCGCAGCACCAGCGGTTCCAGGTCCTGCAGACCCGCATGCAGACACACAGGTCTTGGTGGCTGAGGCGGCTGAAGACGGCCATCCACACCTCCCTGGGCATGACGTGGGCCGCCCCGTTGTCCAGGGGCAGCCAGTTGGGTGGGGGACTGATAGGGGACGGCCGGATCACGTGGCGCTTCATCTGGGTGCACGGGTCGGGGCGGGAGATGACTGGGGGGTTGCAGGCCGGGCCCCACAGGTTCCGAGGAGTCCCTTGCTGAAGCCCTGAGGGCGCTCAGAGGTCCAGCGGGAGAGCAAGTTTTCTGAAGGAAAAGATTTCAAGGAACCCAGTCCGTGGCTATCCCTTGGCCAGATAGAAGTATCAAAGTGTGGGGCTTCGCGAAGATTGGTCAAGAGATCTCCAGAAGGGGTTTCCGGGATGTTGGGAAACAGGCCCTACCCACCTACCCGAGCAGAAACTGCAGCGAGCTGTGGCAGCCCCGTACGCGTCCCCCAGAGCGGCAGGACAAGAGGTGGACACTGTCATCGCTGTGACCCTGAACGGGAGCCCTGGCGTTCGTGGGACTCTGCCCAACGCAGCCTGGAGGACAGCAGCCGCGCAAAACCAGGAGAAAGCTCAGACAGGAGGCTGGTGGAGAATACTGAGGCAGAGGATAAGACCTGGCTGGCTGGAGGGTCCCAGCAATCGCTAGCTAAGAGGAAGAAAGATAAGCATCGCCCCTTTGCCAGGCCGAGCTCGGAAAGCCTTAGCCGAAGAGAACTGTGCCTTCCCAGGGCCTGCCTTCTGGGTCTGCACACGGGTGGGACGAACTCAACCTCTGCAGCAGGGATTCTACCTACCCAAGGGGTTCACTAGCACGGAGAGAGAAGTGTAGGCGACCCTAGTCTTTGATCCTCTTCTAGGGTGCCAGCTGTAGAAGAAGGAGGAAGGACAGGGACACCGCATCAGCTTAGCAGGCAGGCAGCGGGGCGCTCACCACCAGCAGGCAGAGGAGATGAGCCCCTGGTTCACCTTGCTTTTATTCACCCAAACCCGGCTCGAGCAATCAAAGTAACAGGAGATCCACCTGCTTCCCAGGATCGTAGTAGTTCTCAGGGGAACACCTGCACCTCAGCTGTCCTAACTCTTCCCTCCTCTGCAATATGTGGTCACCCTGAGGGCAGCCCTCCTCCTTCCCGCTCACAGAGGCGGCCATTTGGGCCTCAGTGCTCCTCCCGTCCTGACGGTGCACTCCTGCTTCTGCCTGAAGGGGAGGGGCTTCCCAGAGAGGACTATGACTTAGAATGAGCAAAAACTCCTGGGCCGGCTGCCTGTTTGTTCACTGCAAAAGCAAAGCTGGGGGCAAAAAAAGGCTTAAAGTAGAACTAGGAAACAAAATAAATGAAAGTTGCATTAAATTTTTTTTTCTTAATTTAATTTTGCGATGCTAGAAATTGAGCCCAGGACCTCACTCACGCTAGGCAATGGCTCTACCATTGAGCCACATCCCCCAAGCCTTTATGGCTATTTTTTAAACTTATAAATGAAAACATTTAAAGCTGTACGTATTTATGGATGCCATGTCTGCAATGTTTACGTTAGGGTAGACACATCTCAAACATTTGTACTTTCTTGGTGGAAATATTTACAATCCCTCTAGCGTTTTGAGATGTGCAATGCATCACCTACAGTCCCACACCGCATGACAATAACTCGCTACAGCTTCTTTCTCCTAACTGTAACTTGGTACCCACCAACCGGCCTCTCCCCAGCCTGTCATCCCCATTCTCCTCTTAGCCTCTGTGAGACCCTGCCTTTTTATCTGAGTGGGATCATGTGGTACTTGTCTTCTGTGCCTGGCTTATTTCACTTAGCACAATGATCTCTAATCCCATCCACGCTGTTGCAAACAGCAGGATTTCATTCTTTAGGGCTGAGTAATATTCCATGGTATGTGGGTACCACATCGTATCTGTCCACACCGAAGCAGATAGACACAGAGGTGCTCTCCATTTCTCCGCTATTGCGAATAGTGCTGTGGTGAACACAGGAGCACAAATGCCTCCTTGACAAAATTATTTCATTTCGTCTTATGTATATCCAGCAGTGTAATGCTGGGATCATAGAGCATCTATTTTTAATTGTTTGAGGAACCTCTATACTGTTTCCTGTAAAGGCTGCACTAATCTACATTCCCACCAGCAGAGTGCAAGGGTTCCCTCTCTCCACATCCTCTATTATCTTTTTTATAATAGCTAAGATTTTATTTTAATTATGTCATGAATCGTGTTTGTAAATACAACTTTGTTTTGAAAATCAAAATCTCTGAGCTGACTTAAACTATCTCCTGTGATAGGTTAATGTTCCTTCCTTCCTGCTTCCCTTCCCTTCTTTCTCTTTTTCTTTTCTTTGTACAGTGCTGGGGATCGAATTCAGGGTCGCCCAGCTTCTAGACAAGCACTCTACACTGGGCTATATCCCTAGCCTAATTCAAAAGAACCCCAGCTGTAGTAACTCATGTCTATATCCCAGCACTCTGGAAGGCTGAAGCAAGAAGATCTCGAGTTTAAGCCCAGCTTGGGCAATTTAACAACTTAGTGAGATCCTCTCTCAAAATAAAAGAAATTTATAAAGTGTTAGAGATGTAGCTCAGCGCAAAGGCCATCGGTTCAGTCCCCAGTACAAAGAAGAAGGAATGTGGTGTAATCTAATGCCTGCCATATCACAAATGCTCAGTAAATGATGGTTTTAGCGGAATGTGGATCTTCTACAAATCATGGAGAGAAACTGTGGAATTTTTGGAATTATTTTAATTAATAGCATTTGTATACAAGTATATGTGCTTTACCAGCTGAGACGTTTGTTTAGTTACATGTGAACTCTGGGGGATTTGAGGCCCATTTGCACAGATACAGACTGGTCTTGAGGCACACAGTGACCTCTGGGTCCCTTTCCAGCTCTCGAGGCCTTTTGTTAGGACTTAAGACCTGCAGCCTTCAGCCACGGCGGTCCTGAAAGCCTCTGGCTGGACAACCCCAGTGCACTGGGCCATGAGCAGCCTCCTCCCAGGGACTTGGTGGCACCTGGGTGGTCCTCTTTCATAGTAGAAATTGTGCGGATTCTGGATCTAAAAGGCAGCCGCCCTTTAATAGTCTCAGATGTCTGATTTCTCTGTCTAGTCTTCACCACTTTCAGGGAGATTCATGAGGTCCTCAGGTCACAGCCTTTTTCCTAAGTGGCTCTGTGGTGATGTTAAATGTAATAAGACTCAGGATCTTGGCAGGTGTGGTGATGAACGGCTGTAATCCCAGCACTCGGGAGGTTGAGGCAGGAGGATCGCTGTGAGTTCGAGACCAGCCTGGGCTACATAGTGAGTTCCAGGTCAGTCTCAACTACATAGTGAGACCCTGTCTCAAAACAAACAAACAAAGACTCAGGATTTTTATTCAAGTGCATTGAGCATAAGCCACATATTACATATCAAAAAAGCTTTATCTTTCCAGCTACTTGGGGGGCTGAGGCAGAATGACTGCAAGTCTAAGGCCAGTCTAAGCAGGTTACTGAGATCCTGTTTTAAAATTTTAAAAAAGGAAAGAAAAGGCCTGGAGATGTAGCTCCCGGTAGAGCATTTCCCTAGCATGGGCAACTCCTGGATTTGATCCCAGTGTGATCAAAAAAAAAAAAAAAAAGTTTTATCTTAATCTTTGGGGGTCTCATTGTTCTCTCCTAGATAATAATTCTTCTTGAAAGTGAGGGAGGGATATGCTAATAGTGGCATATTTTTTCACCGGTTTGCTATTTTAGTCTTCTCTCACTTTTTAATGTCTTTCTCTTTCCTACAGACCAAGATCAGAAAACCATCCAAAGTCCATGACCTCGTTAGGTTGTCTGGATATACATGATAAAGACTGGTATATTTCCAGGTGACTTACAGCAACGTAAGACACGACCTCATTCCTGAAGTTACTTCAGCAGTGACCGGCTGCACTCTCCGTCCTCAAGGGTGGCCTCTTCTGCCTCCTGTCCTATTTGTCCTGTAACTTTCTTGTCTCAAGCTTTTCTTCTTTGGGGCCCCTCACCTTCCTTTCAAGTCCACCTCTCTTTTCCTCGGGGCTTGGGTAGTCAGTGCCTCCCTGGTGTTTCTGCCTCCCATTTGCTCCCTGTCCCCCATCCTCCACGGTGGACAGGGTCATCTTCAGAAGCAAAACATGACCTCCCAGCAGCATGGCATTCCCACCTCCCCGGCAGCTGCACCTAACTCCCTCCAGATGCCTAAATGCTCTGGTTTTTACCAGGGAATTGAACTTGGGCCCTTGGGCTTGCGATGCAGGTAGCAGAACCACTGAGCCAAATCCCGGGCCCTCTGCACTGATACTGTGGGGCCCATTATGGCCCTGGGCTGCTCCCGTTACCTACTATGCTCCTCCCCAGCTTTTTCTCCTCTGACCTCCCTCTGTCTCCGAGGGACTGACTCACTGCCTCCCATGTGCATGCATGGAGCTCTTGGCGTGCTGACATCTCTGGGCAGCCTTACATTCTCCGGTTTGAGCTCTTCCAGGGTGAGCATTGTCTCAGAAGCATTTCCAGATTTCTAGGTGCCCTTCCCATTCTAAGTAGTGTGAGCTTTGAGAATAAGGCCAAAGCCGCACCCTCCTGTTAGAAGATACAGCTGCTGATGCCCCTGGCCCACCTGGATGTGTTTCGGGAACATCATGGCCTTTTGAAATTATTTATTTATTGAGGCAGGGTCTTGCTAAGTCATTAGGTACCCAGGCTGGGTTTGAACTTGGGACCCTCCCACCTCGGCACTCTCCCCAGCTACCACACCCTATTTGTGACACAGCTTTGTGGAAGAAGGGAGCAATCAAAACAGGGTGCCTCCCACCGAGACCCAGTTCCTGGTGTTCCCCAGTGGGGGAAAGGTGGAAAGGATGCCAAAAATAATGAATTGAAACCAAGTAGGGCATTAGCTGTGGAGTTCTTCTATCTATATGTAGGGGTTCTCTCCATCCTTTTTCCATGTGTAAACAAAAACTAGCAGTTCAGGAATTCTGACACTTATGGAATGTTTTTCTTCTGTGTGTGTGTGTGTGTGTGTGTGTGTGTGTAGGTTTTGAGACAGGATCTCACTATGAAGCTCGGGCTGGCTTTGAACCCGCTGTGTAGCCCATGCTAGCTGGAACTCACTGAGATCCTTCTGCCTCAGCTTCCTGAGTGCTGGGATTACAGGCATGTGCCACTACACCTGGCTTTTATCTTTCATTTTTAAATGCCAGATATTTTAAAAAGAAATAGAAATAACCAAAGAGTGAGCACTAGTAATTTTTGTCAACCACTCCAGGAAGAATGGTTACTATGTATACTACTCCAATTAATCCATGAAATGATATATTAAACCCATATAAATACTGAAGTTTTACATTCCAAAAATGTAACTTTTTACAATTCCTCCTGGTGAAAAATCAAACATGTTCCACTCCAGCATAAACAAGTGAATGCAGGTGACTTCTAGCTTTTCTCCCAGAACACTATGTGATCAGGCCTTTCCTTGTGTGTGTGTTGAAGCTTGAACTCAGTGCCTTCACACTGAGCAGCGTTTTCAGCCCTTTATTTTTTGTTTCAAATCACAAAGTTTCTTAGGTTGGGCTTGGACTTTTGATCCTTGTGCCTCAGCCTATTAGAGTGCTGGGACTACAGGCTATCAGGCCTTTAATGATGCATCAAAGTAGTGGAGAACTTCACATTTTATTTCCCTGCAAGACATTTTCCTTCTCTCCAGGCAAGTGGGCAAGTTCTTCCTTCCACCAACCAACTTGAAGGACAGAACCCTGAAGTCCTTTGAAGTGAAATCAAGAGAACACTGGTCTTCTAAGATCTGACCCTTGTATTTTCTCTCTTAAAATGAGTTTTGAGTTAGTTCTGAATTTAAACAAAGGACCCAGAGACTTCTGATTTTGTGAGGTGCATCAGGAAAATAAATGTATACGTAACACACATGTTAGCTTTCGGATAAATCCAAGAATCATGCTGAAAGTATAGCTGTTGATCAAAATATGCATTTTATTTCTCTGTATTTAAATCAGAGGAAAATATATGGAATGTAAAACTAACTGGTCCTACAGGAAGGCGGAATAAATAAAAGCTATTATCATTGTTATCTTTGTGGAGGAATTCCACATGTTCTTATGTATCTTGGAAGCAGAAAATCTTAATTTCTCAAATTCAAAAAGTGGGCATACCTGGTTGGAAGGGTGGCCCAGGCCTGAGGGCTACAGCTGGGTGGAACTGGCCTGGGGCACTGGAGGGCAGGAGACCCAGAGGGGGGTGGACTGCCTCGTCCTGCTCAGCAACTCAATGAACTCATGTGTTAAAGACAGAAAGACGTCTTCTACTGCCCCCTCCTTCCTGGGATCAGACATGCTAATCGAGCATTCTGTCACTGAGCTACACCCCAGCCCACTCCGTTTATCTTATTCGGAGACACGGTCTCAACAAGTTGCCCAGGCTGGCCTCAAACTCCTGATTCTCCTTCCTCGGCCTCTTGAACACCTGAGCAGCAGGGATTTCAGGCATGCAACACCACATCTGGTTAGATATGTGTGTTTAAACGATAAAGCATACATGACTTAAATTGAAATATCTTAAGGCACATAAAAAGTTGGGACATACTATATGGCAAATTAGGGCCAGGGATTTAGCTCAGTGGTTCCGCCACCTGCCTTGCAAGCTCAAGGACCTCAGTTTGATCCCCAGTACCCCCCAAAAATATATGTATGACCCAAATTAAACCTGAGAATGCACCGCGATTCACAGCTATAGCAATGTTTCCTTTTAGAATTTCGACCCTAATCTTTGAAAGCTTTGAAGTTGTAAGACCTAAAATCTCACTTCCACTCCACGGAGCGTGAACAGCCAAAAAGGCCTCCACAATGCTGGGCCCAACACCCAGCGAGGCTCCGGGAACACGACAGAGAACCAAGAAACCCAGGAAGGAACACACCAGGCTAGATGGTAAAGAGACCTTTATTAGTCTGGCCAGATGGCACTCCCGGAGCCAGGTGGCTCAGAGAGGCGCCTAGCTCAGGGGCCGAGGTCCTCTTATAGGGAGTAAAAGGAGGGGGTTAACATTTTGGGCTCACAGACAGGGGACAAAGGTCTGCTGACGAGCTGGTGGTCAGCAGTCACATATTGATGAGTAACAGGTACCACCTATAGGATGTCTCAAAAGTCACTAAGACACTCCGGATGAGCAAACAGTTTGTCAATTAGCTTGGGCTCTATGTCTGGAGTCTCTAATTTACAGGTCGATTCAGATCCGGACTTCAAACAATACAAGAGTGATCCACATTCTTAGGCCAGGGATGGAACAAAGGTCGGGGCTGTGGCTACAATGGGAGGGGTTCAGGACACTGTCTCCTAGGTCCTTTGCCATTTAGCAAGGGCTTGTAATTTAGGTCCCACAAAGTGACTCAAGCGGTTGTTATTATTATGGATTTGTGGGATCCTGTAGGGAAAAATAAAATACAATAAGAGAAGGAAGCTATTGAGATGAGAACAGCCATGTATGGAATCTGCATAAATGGGATGAGACAGGTAGAAAAGAAGCATGAACCCAGGTCATCGACAGGTGGGCTCTGTGCGCACACACTGATTCCGACATCTGTGTTCTTTACCCGCAGGTAATCTCAAAGTGAGTGTGCCCATCTTGTTGCGTGGCTCATGGGTGTAGAGTCTGAGCTGGTCCTTCTTTTGATAAACATTTAATGACTTTCAGTAAAGTATGTGACAGGCTCTGTGTTAAGGGCCAAGGATAGGAGGAAAAGTGGGGTGAAGCCGTGAGGAGCTGATGTCCCAGGACAGGTGTGTACCATGCTCTGGCATCGTGGGACTGACTGGCAGCTGCAGGAGCAGACAGGAAATGGCCCCTGACCATGCTAGAAACCGGGGGAGATTTTACACATGGCCACCACCTGAGCCAGAGCCAGGTCCCCGGTGTCACCTCGGTGACCCCAGATAGAAGAAAGCCAGGGCACACGGGGCTCAAGATGACCCATTCTGTGCCCAGAGCCACAGCGGTGCTGGAAACCAAGTTCTTCACGGAGCAGAAGGTGAGGTTGGTCACTCGCAGCATGAAATGAATGATATGTGGGGCAAGTGGACAGGCGAGGCAAGCTTGGGAGCACCAGTGACACTGCTCTTCAGTGAGCCCAGCAAGATGGACTAAAGCCAGGAGCCCGGGTAGCACATTGGCCTGCTGTGGGGCACAGGCCTGTCATCCCAGCTACTCTCAGAGGCCCTGCCTGAAAATAAAATAGAACTTCAATCCCTGTACCAGAGAGAGAGAGACAGAGAGAGAGAGAGAGAGAGAGAGAGAGAGAGAGAAAAAAAAATAGAGAGAGAGAGAGAGAGAGAGAGAGAGAGAGAGAGAAGAAAACAGAAAAAAGAAAAGGAAGATAAGAATGCAAAGCAATTCAAGGATGAAGTCAGAGGATGAGGGCATTGCTTATCCATGGAGTGGGGAAGAGGGGCCCCGGAAAACCAGCAGAGTTCTGGGTGGACGGTGGCCAGCCTTAAAAAAAAAATCCTTCCATTCAAGTCTCTGCTAAAGCTATCAAGTTCCCCTTTTCACTTTCCATGATGCCTTCTGAAGTTCTGTTATTTACAGTTTATAACCCTCCCCCTGCCCCTGGCAGCAAAGTTTTATTAAAGGTAGGAAAAGAAACAGGCTCTGCAGAGCAAATTTGGGCCACGTAAAAGTAGGAAGAGAAGTACCCGCTACAGCATGAGGGCAGGCCACTGCGCAAGAGAACGTGGTGCACCTTAACTCTCATTTGGAAAGGCAATGTAATAGTTTATCACTGAATTCTGTCTTAGGGACAGGATTCACATCCTTACTCCGTGATCCAGCATTCATTGCCTTCCATATTTTGGTTGTTTTTTCCTAGAATGCCTTTCCCTGCCTACTAAATGTCTTTCCTTCTCCCCCTCCACCACCTAGTTCCTCATGTTTAAAACAGCTCTGGCTTTCAAGGTTTAGTGAAAGTAATACCTCTGTCCTCTGTTTCATCTGTGGCTTTCTAATGTCACTGGGCAAATTCTTCCCTAATTTAGAGAATGGGTGAGACAGTGTAGAATAGCAACAGGCACATGACGTGGAATCAAGATTTAGGTTCAAGTTTTGTGAGGTTTTTTGGTACCAGGGATCTAACTCAGGATCACTTGCAAGGCAGGCAACGGAACCACTGAACTAAATCCCCGACCCCTAGTTTCAAGTTTTGTGATCAACTTCCAGAGAGCTTGAGGCACAGTGGTTACTCCTTGGGAAAGTTCTAGTGTTCCACTGCCATCTGCCATGTTCTATCTAGTTTTTGTAGGTACCAGGTGGAAAATTAAACTGGGACTTAATGGAGACCATGACCCCTTTGAGGGTGATACACACCTCTACAATTTCCCAGGAATACAGCTGTTGTCATGTTCTCCTCCTCTTCCTTCCTTTTTTTTGTTTTTTGGCATTGGGGAGTGAACCCAGATCCATGCATACACTTTACTACTAAGCTACACCCCAACTCCTGTGTTATGTTTTTAATTTACTGTCTTGGCTGGGAGACTAGTGGTGGTAGCTATTTGAGAAACACACTCGGATTAGCTCTTACCTCACAGGTCAGGGAACAAATTTGAGGGTCCTTTCAACCACCAAGTACATCCATTCATCGCATCTGAACTGTCAGAGGCCAGGGGTGTTGAATTTAGTGGCCTGAAGGGCCCATTGTCAGCTGGACCAGGGCTGAGACTCCATTTATCACCTAGTTCCCATGTGCTCTGTTACCCTGAAAGGGCCATATTGACACACTGGGTCCTGAATATAATGTTGATTCAGACCAGGGTCCAACAGCCCTCCACAGGTTTGGGGGGTTCCTACTTTTTTTAGTCCCCAGTGGCCACATGTCCTCTGGAGGAAGGATGGGTGTGAAGGACAGAGTGGTGACTGCTGTGGTGTCGCAGGTCTGTCCCTCCTAGGAGCCTGGCTTCTCTTCAGTTCCTAGGTTCTGAGATTGAGATCTGCCTCAGTCTGTTCCTGTTCTTATAACAAAATACCAGATACTGAGTGATTTGTAAAGAACTGAAGTTTACTTCTTTTGGTTCTGGAATCTGTGAGTCCAAGCTTGCCAAAAAGGACCTTGCTTGTTCCCTGCAGCCCTTTTATAAGGTCATGAATGCCATTCGTTAGAATTCTGCCCTCATAAATTAACCACCCTTGAAGGCTTTGCCTCTTAATACGACCACACTGGGGTTTAAGCTCCAAGTTCAGTTGGATACGTTCAGACAACAGCAGGATCATAACTTTTTATTGGGACGACTGTCCTCACCTTCCTGATCTTTCCTGATTTAACTGTACAAATTAAGCAATAGCGTCCTCCTGTTGAGCACTCACCTGGCTGGCCTCTAGGAACGTCCTTCACTAACTATTACCTTGGCTGTCCCCTTGGCCATTCCCCATCACCTCTCTCCTGTCCTGACCCTGCAGCCCATCCTGACCCACTGTGATCATTGTGCCCACCTTGCTTCTGCCTGGCCTCCATTCTCCTCATCTCATCCCCATCGCATCAGCCCAGCTCCAGGACAGCATCTCGTTTGCTTAGCCCTGGCCTCCAGAGCGCAGCCAGCCACTCATCTCCTCAGCTATTCTCACCAGTGCCTTCTTTTTTGCTTTGGTACAGGAAGTGTCCTCTAGGCCTTGATATGGAACATGAGCAAGAGGGGGTTCCAGCTTTCTGTGGTGCCAAAACGAGACAGCTAAATCAGAAATATTGCAGGCAGTCAGATAGGGCGAGACCCTTGAGAGAGTCAGGATGAAGGTGAAACTTATCGCAACTGTGGCCGGAAACGTATCTGTTGGAGACCAGGCTTCCAGATAAAGACAAGATGACCAAGCCTGTCTACTTCCTCAAAGGACAAAAACAGGGCCTAATGAAGTCTAGGTAGACATCAGTCACCCCAGTGGGAGACCAAAGACCTCTGGACCTATCATTTCCTAGAAAAAGTCTTTGTTCTTTCCAGCCTCACTTGTTAAGTGACTTGGTTTCCAATGGGATCACTATTAACAAAGCAACTATACTTGTAACTTTACTGTTTGATCATAGCTGTAAGCCACAGTGTATGCATGTGGGTTTTGCTCTTCCCTATAAAGTGGGGGTCCCTGGCTAATCACCTGAGACCTCTCCTGCCTCTCAGGAGCTCGCCTATTAATAAATATTTTACTACTCTTAAGCTCTATTGTTCCTAGAATTCATTCTTTGTTTTTTTTTGTGGGGGGTACTGGGGGTCGAACTTGGGCCCTTGTGCTTGCAAGGCAGGCATCATTCTTCTATTTTTAGAAAACAGAAACTCAGCATATCAGACACCTAACAGGAGATATAATATTTCATATTTCATCTCCTGTATCATATCATGTATCACTTCTTACCAGTGCCTTCCTCTTTGGTACAGAAAGTATCCTCTGGGCCTTCATCAGAACATGAGCAGGTGGAGGGTTCCAGCTTCCTGTGGCGACTTCAATCCATCCTAGCAGGCCTGCATTTAGCATCCAGGCAAAAATGAGGTGAGGTGGAAGAGAAATCAACCAAGTATAGCTGACACTGAGCCTAGGGAAATGAAGTTCAAGAAGGAGAGGAATTCAAGAAGGGTGGGGAGACCGACATGAGCATTGTTACACTGAGCGAGTCTTAGTGGAATGTTGCAAATAAAGCTCTGTTGGAACAAGCTGAGGAGAAAATGGAGAAGTGGGTTTACTGTTATAGGGAGCAGAGAAATGAGAAGGAAATAAGAGACCAGGTTGGAGAGTGAGAACATTATTGAGCGCCCAGGCCATGGGTAGGGATCTCCTATGAGAAAATATGATGCACACACATTCGAGAAAGAAGGAGAGAGACAGGCAGACAGGTAGACAGACAGAGATGTGAGAGAGGTGGCTGATCTAAGCTGCTCTGGGCAGCAAACACAAAAGGCACCAAGGACACCCAGAATTTATTCATAACAAGCATGGGAAAGAGGGGAGCAGAGTAGGCCTCGGGACACTTGGTGGTAGAGGGTATCGCAGGCAGGGCTGTAAAGGGAAGCAGTAGCATATCTTATTGAAGAGAGCAAATGAGTAATTCAGAGGGAAAGAATTTAGTTGGAGTCAAGCTGAAAGTTAACTCAGCAGGGCCCTGCCACTTCACGGACTAGGACTTAAGTTTTAGTAGCAGCCCCTTGGCGGTGGACTGTACTCACCCAACTCTGCTATCTGATATGCCCATTTGAGTCGCATAAAGCTTCAGTCAGACTCCTAATATAGTACAGCCAAATTGTGGAAGGGCAAGAAGCTTGTGCCACTAATGGCCTGCTGATACTGGGCAGGAATGTCTGGTACAGGGGAGTTTTTAATGACAGGAAGTGTTATATGTGTTTGTTTTGAGGGGAGTGATGAATTTGAGAAGAAGTTATTGCAGGGTTTAAGAAAAGAAGAGTGCTGTTTTCAGAACCATGTGTCTTTGAACAGGAGATGGTATACAAAGGACAAATGGTGGCCGGGCTTTGAGGGCCTGTAAACACTTTTATTGCAACAGAAACAAGGGCAGGACCTGGGAGTGCAGAGGGAGGTGAGTGGTCAGGTGGTTGCGATGGCCTTGCTCCCTCTGTGAAGTCTGAACTGGGAAGGAATGAAGGCCCTCCTACTCCAGCACACCTTGTAAATTCCTCCTTATTCCTTATAGTGTCCCCTTCTCAGAAGGATCACCAAGAATTTTTTTCCTCAGAAAGTACACAAAATTTAATTCATCAAAAGCCTTTGCGGGGTAGAAGAGTGCTTAAGTCTTTGTTTGTACATAGGAAACATAACTTTTTGCTGGATTTTAAAAGCTTTTAATTAGGTGTGTTAGTTTTTCTACTGGCATAATGCAATAACTGAGTAAAACAATTTAAAAGGAGCAAAGGCTCATTGGAGCTCAAGGTTCAGGGGTTTCAGGACTGTCATGAGGCAAAACATCATGGTAGGGAACATGGTGTGGCACAAAATGCTCCTCTCATGGTGGCTGGGAGAAGGAGAGAGGGAGAGAGAAGCCAGGGTCCA